TTCCAGTGTATATATAAATCACATCTCTTTATCCATTCATCAGTTGATGGGCATTAGGCTCTTTCCACAATTTGGCTATTGTTGAAAGCACTGCTATAGACATTGGAGTACATGTGCCCCTATGAATCAGCACTCCTGTATCCTTTGCATAAATTCCCAGTAGTGCTATTGAGGGGTCATAGGGTAGTTCTATTTTCAATTGTTTTGAGGAACCTACGCACTGTTTTCCAGAGCAGCTGCACCAGTTTGCATTACCACTAGCCCAGAGTTAATCTTTTCCTTCCTAGATGGTGAAAACTATGGATTAGTCCATGCATTATGAGATAATAAAATATAATGAAGTAAATGGTAGACTGAGTCAAGAGATTCTATGACCAAGATTTGATGGAAATGAAAGTGGTGGCACTGACTGAGAAACTAAAAGTTTGAACAGGAGGGGAACCTGTGTGGCTCAGTCAGTTGAGCCTCAAACTCTCAGGTCATGATCCCAGGGTCATGGGATCAAGACCCCTGTCAGCCTCCACACAAGTGCAAAGCCTGCTAAAAATTCTCTCTCTCCAACCCCCCAGGCCCCCTCTTTCTGCTTGTGCATGCTCTAAAAAACATTTAAAAAATAAAATATAAATAAATAAATAAATAAATAAATAAATAAATAAATAAGTAAGTAAGTAAATAAATGTCTGAACAGACTAAAGAAAGAGCATTTTATCTTTTTGAGCCTGACTTCACATCGAGTCATGGGGTCAGCAAGGCATAGGCTGGCGAAAGGGTCCTTCCAGAAGCAAAAATCTCTATAGGAGCAAAGTTAAGTTCTACTACATTGACTTTTTATTATTACATAAGTGACTGGTAATTGTCAAGATAACTAGGAAAGAGTTTTCATAAAATTTGATATGGTACTGGCATAAAGATAGACATATAGATCAATGTATTAACACTGAGAATCTAAAAATAAACTCTTACATTATAGTGAACTGATTTTCAACAAGGGTGTCAGACAATTAAATGGAACAAGAATAGTCTTTGCAACAAATGGTACTGTGACAAATGGATATCCACATGCAAAGTAATAAAATCAGACCTCTAGCCCATAGCATATATACAAAATTAACTTAAAATCTAAGAGCTAAAATGATAAAATTCTTAGAAAAAAGCATACGTGTATATGTTTGTGACTGGATTTGGCAATGATTTCTTAGACATGACACCAAAAGACAAAAGCAGATTAAGTTTACTTCATCAAAATTAAAAACTTCTATGCTTCAAATATCACCATCAAGAAAGTGAAAAGGCAAGCGACTAAATATGAGAAAATATCTGAAAATCCCATATCTGCTAAGGGATTTGTATGTGGGATATTTAAATAACTCTTCCAATAATGAAAAGACAATCCAATATAAAAATGGGGAAAAGAATGGATTAGTTGTTTAAAGAAGATATAGAAATGGATAAAAATCACATTAAAAGGGAGATGTTCGGGGTGCCTGGGTGGCTCAGTCAGTTGGGCGTCCGACTTTGGCGCAGGTCACGATCTCATGGTTTGTGGGTTCGAGCCCCAAATCGGGCTCTGTGCTGACAGCTGGAAGCCTGGAGCCTGCTTCAGATTCTGTGTCTCCCTCTCTCTCTGCCCCTCCCCTGCTCACACTGTCTCTCTCGAAAATAAAAGAGAGATGTTCAACATCATTAGTTATAAGAAAAATGCAAACCAAAAACCACAAGATGCCATTTCACACCCACTAGAATTGTTATAATAAAAACAACAGATAATGACAAACATTGGCAAGAGTCAGGAAAAATGGGAACTCTCAAAAACTGCTGATGAAAATGTAATGTTGCTGCCACTTTGGAAAACAGTCTGGCAGTTCCTCAAAAGGTTAAACAAGAAAAACATTTTTTCTAAACTTATTTTAGAGAGAGTGCACAAGTGGGGTAGAGGGACAGAAGGAGAGGGAGGGAGAGAATCCCACACAGGCTCCATGCTCAGAGCAAAGCCCAATGTAGGGCTCGATTCCACAACCCTGAGATCATGACCTGAGCTGAAATCAAGAGCCGGCCACTCAACCAGCTGAGCCATCCAAGTGCCTGCCCCTCCTCAAAAGGTTGAAAAAACAAAAACAAACAAACAAAAAGGTTTAACAGAGTTACCATATGAACCAGCAATTGTATTTATAGGTATATACCCAAGAGAAATGAAAACATGTTCACATAAAAAGTTGTACATTACACAAAAATAACCTCAAAATGGATGAAAGACCTCAATGTGAGACAGGAACCCATCAAAATCCTTGAGGAGAAAGCAGGCAAAACCCTCTTTGATCTTGCCAGCAGCAACTTCTTATTCTAAACGTCTCTGGAGGCAAGGGAAACAAAAGCAAAAATGAACTACTGGGACCTCATCAAAATGAAAAGCTTCTGCACAGTGAAGGAAACAATCAGCAAAACTAAAAGGCAACTGATAGAATGGGAGAAGGTATTTGCAAATGACATATCAGATACAGTGGGAGAGAGCCAAAGCATAAGAGACTCTTATAAACTGAGGGCTGATGCGGGGTGGGAGGGAGAGGAGGGTGGGTGATGGGTATTGAAGGAGGCATCTTTTGGGATGAGCACTGGGTGTTTATGGAAACCAATTTGACAATAAATTTCATATATTTAAAAAAAAAAATGGTTAGTATCCAAAATCTACAAAGAACTTACCAAACACAACACCCAAAAAAACAAGTAATCCAGTGAAGTAATGGGCAAAAGACATGAGCAGACACTGCTCCAAAGAAGACATGGCCAACTGACACAGGCAAAAATGCTCCACATCACTCATCATCGGGGAAATTAAAACCACACTGAGATACTACCTTACACCTGTCAGAATGGCTAACATTAAGAACTCAGGCAACAACATATGTTGGCGAGGATGCAGAGAAGAGGATCTCTTTTGCTGGTGCAGTCACTCTGGAAAATGGTATGGAGTTTCCTCAAAAAACTAAAAACAGAACTACACTACGACCCAGCAATTGCACTACTAGGCATTTATCCAAGGGATACAGGTGTGCTGTTTCAATGGGACACATGCACCCCCATGTTTATAGCAGCACTATCAACAATAGCCAAAGTATGCAAAGAGTCCAATTGTCCACCGATGGATGAATGGATAAAGAAGATGTGGTATATATATTCAATGGAGTATTACTTGGCAATCAAAAAGAATGAAATCCTGCCATTTGCAACTACGTGGATGGAATTGGAGGGTATTAATGCTAAGTGAAATAAGTAAGTCAGAGAAAGACAAATTCATATGATTTCACTCGTATGAGGACTTCAAGAGACAAAACAGATGAACATAAGGGAAGGGAAACAAAAATAATATAAAAACAGGGACGGGACAGAGGAGACTCATAAATATGGAGAACAAACTGAGGGTTGCTGGAGGGGTTGTGGGAGGGGGGATGGTCTTAATGAGTAAGGGGCATTAAGGAATCTACTCCTGAAATCATTGCTTCAGTATATGCTAATTTGGATGTAAATTTTTAAAAATGAAATATAAAGTTAATAAAAAAGAACACCCCCCCCCCCCAAAAAACAAACCTTAACCCAGGTAGTCTCTGGCTTGGGGATTCAGGAGATAAGGACCTTCTAGAGAAGTCAGAGCTATGAGTTGGCTGAAAGCTATCTAAAGTTTTGTTTCACAGGGAAGACCTTAAAGTGGCAGCTAATTTCATGCCATAACCCTAATTCCTTTCTATAGGCATCTACAGAAAATCCCTCGTTATTCTTTAATAAAAGCTTAATCAGTTTCGGATATTCTTACAAATTTTAGTTTTTGAGACCTTAAAGATTGCTTTAGGACACAGTAGTAGGACAACACCTCGCACTCTCATTCATAGAAGACTGATCAACATAGTGTCATGTTACTCGCATGAAAAGTACCCTAAAACAATGTGACTCATTTATAAGAGGTCTAGAAAAGAAAATAATTTTCAGTGTCTCTTCAGCCACAAAAAGGGCCAGCCAACAGAATGTTCTAGTTCCCCTGACAGGTATAGCTCTCTAATGAAACCTGCATGTATATTATATAGCTTTTGCGACTGAAAGAAACTAGTGGGTCAGTGTATCTATCTCATTGCTCCCACTTAGGATGTACAGTGTAAATCCTACAAAGGAGGGTGAGAGTGGGATGACATTAACTGTTCTGCTTGGAAAACAGTTGGGGTTTCACTACATATCAATAAATTAGAATCCTGAATTGCACATTAGTCTTAGTTCTGAGATTGAACTGTGAAATCTCTGAAAGGCTGATTAACTCAAGTGAATGGAGAAAAATGAGTTTCTGAACTTGCAATGGTAGGAGCACTATGTTACTAGGTAAGGCCCTGACTGAGCAGCCATTTCTAGTTTTTCACTGGCATTTCTTTTCCTTTACAAAATCCAACAAAGAGAAAAGTCCATTCCTTTGAGAAGGACGTTTGCATAACGACCTGCTAGTCATTCTTGATGAAGACAATAAATTGCAAATTTGTAATTACAAATTACAACAAATCATCATTAAAATAACCTGTTCTCAAACTCTCACTGAAGGGTTGAGATTGCAAGAGAAAGCCAGAACTCAAGATCAAATGATCACTCAAAGTTTGGGGAAGTTTGAAACACGCTGAAAAATATTAGCAGGGACTCACACATCTGTATGCCAACGTTCACAGCAGCATCATCCACAATAGCCAAAAGGTGGACTAAACCAAACGCTCACTGTGGTGTATATAAAATGTTGCTTTTCTTAGACTCTCACAATGTTTTTATTAAAATCTCACTACAAACATCATTACTTTATGAATTCAATACACTTCATCTATATAGAAGAATTACATCACTAGTAGCAAGTAGGAACAATATGAACCTAATATTTCGATCTGTGAGATTTTTCATATGATCCAAAACATTCTTATGTACTACCACTAGTGAAATAAGGATTCCTTTTCAGTAGGGCAGACATTAAGAGACTGACTTACCAAACTTGTCCTTAACAAGTTGCTCTGAAGATCTTGAATTTGGGCCGCTTGCTGTTTGATGGTTTCTTCTTGCCTGGTATTTTTAACCTCTAGCCTAAAATAGAGATCTTAAGATAATTATTCTCACACATAAATTTTAAAAAAAACCCATATAATTTCTGAACAAATGAGGGCATTACGTAAATCCTTAAAATTTTATCAAGAGGAGGATTTGGCAATTGTGCCATTTTTCTCGTTGTGTTTTGTGGGTAAGGTGCAACATTGAGAGATAATATGCCACAATCTGCATTTCAAAATAGCTCAAAGCTGGAATTTGTATCCAGCTTAACAATGATATACTGGCATAACTAATACATTTCTCATACTACACTGCTTATCTACTTTATAAATAATCAAGCTATTTTCTGTGAGGTTTAAATTATACTTTTGCATATGATCTTTCGTCTTCTCAGCATATCTTACAGCCTCTGCATGTCGATCCTGTGCTTCTTGCAACTAGAATAAAGAAAAAGTAGTAATTTTAACTACTGGCGATCTAGTAGAACACCATCACCTGTTCTTATAACTACATTTTTTTTTTACTTGAGAGAGAGAGAGAGAGAGAGAGAGAGAGAGAGAGAGAGAGAGACAGACCGCGCGCACAAGTGGGGAAGAGAGGCAGAGGGAGAGACAGAGAAAATCGTAAGCAGGCTGCAAGCTCAGGGAGAAGCCTGATGAGGGGCTCGGTCTCATGACGGGTCTCATGATGTGGGGTTTGGGATCATGACCTGAGTGGAAATTAAGAGTCAGGACGCTCAACCAACTAAGCCGCCCAAGTGCCCCTGTAACTAAAATCTTACTGGACCCAGCCACACTCTCCTCTACATGCTGACTGATGGCTACTTTTAGGTCATAACAGCAGAGCTGAGCTGCTACAACAGACTATGGCCTACGAAACCGAAAATGTTTAAATACTCTTACAGAAGAGCTTACCAACCTTACTCTACTACAAAAACATAACAGTTTTAATGTTTTTAAATTATATATGATCAGATAAACATACAAATTTATCTACTGGTCAAACGGAGGAAATATAGGGAATTACCTTATGGTAAACATTTCTGTTTTCATACTCCCAGCACCGCATCAACTATGATTTCAAATATTCACATAGGTGAATGACATTGCTGTTCTAGTGATTATGTAACTTAACATGTTGTTTTCAATGGCAACAAGATATTTCATGGAATAGTTTGAGAAGCAGTATCTTAGTAGGAGCCAAAATGCCTGGGTCTGAATTCCCAATTCTGCTGGTGAGGAGCTATATGACCTTGAGCAAAATACTTAAAACTTCTGTGTCTCAGTTTCTGCATCTATAAAATGAAGATAATAGCATCTACTGGGGCGCCTGGGTGGCTCAGTTCAGCATCTGACTTCGACTCAGGTCATGATCTCGCAGTTTGTGAGTTTGAGCCCCGCATCAGGTTCTGTGCTCACAGCTCAGAGCCTGGATCCTGCTTCAGATTCTGTGTCTCCTCCTCTCTCTGCCCTCCCCATGCCCATGCTGTCTCTGTTTCTCAATAATGAATACGTTAAAAATAATAAGAAGAATAATAGCATCTACTGGGGCATCTGGGTGGCTAAGTCAGTTAAGCATCCAATTCTTGCTTCCAGCTCAGGTCATGATCTCATGGTTCATGAAACTGAGCCCTACGTTGGCTCTGCACTGACAGCATGGACGCTGCTTGGGATTCTCTCTCTCCTCTCTCTGTCCCTCCCCTGTTAACATGCATGCACACACTCTCTCTTGCTCTTTCTCTCTCAAAATAAATAAACTTTAAAAAAAAATTTTAAATTAAACAAAGAAAAAAAAGTGTCTCAATTCCTGTGAGGAAGGATACAAAAGCCTCAACTTTCCTAAGAGTAAATATTATAAGAAAAAATATATAACACAAATAGAATAAAAGAGTTTAAGAAATAAATGCATTGTAAAGATACTAAAATCATAATGAATTAATTATAATGAAAATACAAAAGGAAGTGGTCTATGGAAATTAGTATCCTAAAACACTTTATATTATTTAACCAGCTATAAGTTAGCTGTTGACAGATTACATTTAATACATGCCTGACTTCTGACTTGACCTAATTTCTTCTTTAGATCCCGTGTCTCATCTTCTAAACTAAGACGATAACGTGATGTAACCTCCAGGGAAGCCTCTGACATAGACTGTTTCTTCAGAGTATCAGCCAGTTCTTGTTGAAGTTGTCTCATAACTACCTAATAAGACATTTCTGTTACTGATTTTATAAATCATCTTATTATTAAATTATGTTAATAATATACAACTCTAACATATGTACTTTGAGAAATATCAACACATACATCAATTAACCATCTTTTCCTAACACGTACACATTCCTACTTACTGAATTCAGTTAAAGAACAAAAGGTGTTATATCTCCCTGCCTAGTCAGGATGATGTCATTTAGATAATGAATCCAGCCTATCTGTTCTCCACTGGTGAATTTGCAAAGCTTCATAACCTACAGAAGTCTCAAAAAGAAATGGGGACATAGTGGGCACAGCAGTCGTAAATTCTACATTATGAAAGGTTTTCCCTCTTTTTTTATTACAGGCTTAAGTTACCGTCAGAGTTCCTCACATATCCAATCCTCTGCTCTTATCCTTCTAATAGAGTCCTATCTCAGAACCAAAGTAAAGTCATTCCAATGGCTCCTGCTTCCACCCCCCTCCCTGACCTCAGCTCCTACAGCTCTCTCCCCTACTAACTCCATTTCTGCTAAACAAGAATCCTGCAACCCCTCCTTGGTCTGAAAATGGAGATCCAATGCCAAATTAATAAATCACAGAGAGATACAATTCTCTTTGTACTGGACAAACTTATGCCCACATGACAGTAACTGAGCTTCGAAATGAGCAAATTATTTGTAAAAATATTTAAAATAAGTTATAAATGGCAGTGGGAAGATTACTCAAAGATAGCTTTGCTAAAACTCACCACAGTTGTCCCAAATTATGATTTAGTGAAAAGTAGATGCCTTTATAGAATTAAGAGGTTGTAGGAACACATGATTTGAGACTGAAAATTAAAATTTATGTGAATAAAAATAAAATCATACCAACTTAAAATGTATAAAAAGCTATCAAAGGAAAAGTACTACCAGATAGAGCACGTACATTTCATTTCATCTGGGAAATCTGAAGTTACTGTCCGGTTAACTCAATTAATTGAATCTCAATTTCAAAATACTCATTTTAGGGGCGCCTGGGTGGCGCAGTCGGTTAAGCGTCCGACTTCAGCCAGGTCACGATCTCGCGGTCCGTGAGTTCGAGCCCCGCGTCAGGCTCTGGGCTGATGGCTCACAGCCTGGAGCCTGTTTCCGATTCTGTGTCTCCCTCTCTCTCTGCCCCTCCCCCGTTCATGCTCTGTCTCTCTCTGTCCCAAAAATAAATAAATGTTGAAAAAAAAAAAAATTCAAAATACTCATTTTACATTTGAGCATTTTCATTTACCAGCTCACCACAGTAATAAAATGTGGTGGCAAAGATTAAAACTTTTATGGGAGGGTTTGTCAGTTAAGTGACCAACTCTTGAATTCGGCTCAGGTCATGAATCCGACAGTTCATGAGTTCTAGGACCCTGTGTCGGGCTCCACCCTGGCAGTGCAGAGCCTGCTTGGCATTTTCTCTCTCTCTGCCCCTCCCCAACTCATGTTCTCTCTCTCTCTCAAACTAAACTTAAAAAAATTATTATTGTAGCAGAAGACTATTATCTATTAACAATTTATAATTTAACATCTTAAAGTTTCATAGATGACACCATAACTTTACTCAAATTAAAGCACCTCTCAGGTCTAATTTTTATTTGTTGCATACAAGTTATGCTTTTATGTTGATTTATAGTCTTTTTTTTTTTTTTAATATTCAACTAGATTCAAAATTCAGCCATAATCAAGTATTACCAGAATTTTCTTTCTGGAAATCTGAAAAATTCTTATCTTTCTGGATACTTACTTCTATTTTTGCTTTCTCATTTTCATAATGATACATTCTTTCTTTTAAATATTTACATTCATCGATTAACTCTTTATTTCTTTCTCCCAGCATAAGACCTTGTTCTTCACTTTTAGCTTCAAGTTTTTTTATGATATTCTGAAACTGGTCTTGGATATTAATTACTAGCTTTTCTTTACTGTCCGCTTTGTTGTGAGCATCATCTAGTTGCTGTCTAAGCAACATATTTTCACTTTGTAGTTGAGATAACCTTTCCTCTAAGGATTCCTGCTTTGCAATGTATTTATTCACCTTACTTTGTTCGTTCTGGTACATGTGTTCAATTTCCGTCTTCTGGCATTGTGTTTGGCTTAGGTCCCTTTGTACACATTCTAAAACAAAAGTCTTCTCTCTGAGAGCATCTTTTGTGTGATGGAGCTCAATTTCCAGGGCATTGAGTTTACTTTCAACTTGAGAAAGTTGCTGAGAAAGAATTTCATTGTTATCTTGTAGATTAGACACATCAAAATTCATTTTGTCCTGTAAATGAAACCATTCATCTCTTGCTCTCTGGAAAGCAAGTTCTAGGTCTCTTCTTGATGTCTGACTCTGATCATGATCGTGTACAGCAGTAGCCAGTCTAGCACGGTATGATTCAACTTCTGCTTCCAGGCTCTCTTTATTTTGTTTTTCATTCTCCAGTTTAGAGTTTAGCATCGTAATCTCAGCAGTCAAAACATTAAGCTGTCCACTATATTGGAATATTGTTTTTGATAATGTTTCCTCATTCTGTTTTATGGTCTTTTGAAGATTGTCATTCTCTTCTTTTACAATTTCAATGTCTTCACAATATTTCGTTTCCTTTCCCTGGTTCTGATTTTTTATGGTGTCTATTTCCAGTCTTAGCATGGCAATTTCATCCTGCAGCATGTGGTTTTTATGCAACAGATCTTGTTGTTTCTCATGACTATCAGAAAGCTAAGTAAAACAAAGGAAATTTTCAGATAGCACTCAATAAAATGACATTATATCATGATTTTCTTTCCAATTACAGTGTAATCTGTTTATACAATGAAAAGGTTGCAAGGGGTGCAAGGGGTGCCAGGGTGGCTCAGTTGGTTAAGCCTCTGACTCTCGATTTTGGCTCAGGGAATGATCTCAGATTCTGTGGATTTAAGCCCCGCATCAGGCTCTGTGCTGACAGTACGGAACCTGCTCGGGATTCTCTCTCTCCCTGCCCCTTCCTGGCTTGTGCTCGCTCTCTCAAAAATAAATAAATACACATGGAGGGAGGGAGGGAGGGAGGGAGGAAGGAAGGAAGGAAGATTATAGTAAGTGAATATTCAACTGGAAAAAAATAAAGTTGGCTCCAAATCTCAAATTTTATGCAAGCATAAGTTCCCAAAAGTTCAGAACTTTAACTGAAGATAATGAAGGCATGAAAGTAAAAAAGAATTCGTGAGAAAAGTTTTCAGAATGTCAGAATTGGAAAAGCCTTTCTGATTTACAACAAACCAGAAGGCCTGAAATAAAAGATTAATAAATCTGACTACACTTAAAAATTGAGTTTACAGTAGATATCGAACACAGCTACCCCACAGTAAAATCGTTAGCTCTGCATCTACTTGGACAGATTAAATTTCCTAAAATTCTTTTTTCCTGAGAATATTTCATAGATATCTACTTTGCTAATATTTCTATAGTCAGTTATAAGAATATATCTATTGATAACTGACAAATCTAGGCACTGTACTATAATATAAACACTTCTCCATACATCAATGAACTCCTTTGGTTATCACAATTCTAGAATGCAGAGATTAAAACTGTGAGCTGCAGGACTCTCCCCAGGTCTTCTCACTCCACAACTAGTGCTCCTGCACCAACCACTGCTACTTCTCTAGTGTAAATACACAAGTACGAAAGAAGTCTTGGATTTCAAAATACTGATAGGAAATAAGGTGAAATTTATACATCTCTTAGAAAATCATGAGATTATTTACTGCTGCAATAACTTGTATTTCCTCTTCATGTTGAAAATAGTAATAAATAAAAAAAAATAAAATAGTAATAAATATAAAAGAGGGGAAATACACTCCACTATTTTATTAGAAATAAAATACCTATCAATAAATTATCATTAAGTATATAGCATAGCATGCCATTGTTTCAAAAGTTACTTGTAATGAAATAGGATGCTACTTGAAGCAAAGTGTTACTTTTCTCAAAAGTAGGAGACTTGATACCGAAAATATGATCTGTGAACTGGCTACACTCGTCCTCCTGTCCATTAGCAGAAGTGTTAAACTAACCTATTAATATATCAAGGCAGTCAAGTAACTGTTCAAAACCAAAACACATGTTGCTAGTAGCAACAGTTTTGAGATTAGGGAAAGCTCATCGATTCCTACAGAAAGTAATAAAAGCCTCTTATTTGGATGAGGACATTATGAATGTCACTATTTTCTGGAGACAAATGCATTTAATCAAGAATATTATTTTATCGAATGAAGCAAAAATGCCACCGCCCCCCCATGCCCCTCCCCAAAAATATATGTGCTTTTAAAATCCTGTATAGTTTCCATGATGTACAATGTTCGGTTTTTAAAATATATATATATATACATACATGGAGAAAAAGTAGTAATAATTAAAAAAATAAAATATATGCAAATACATACACACATGTACTTCAAAATAGCTAAAGAAGAAACCTTAGAATTAGTTTTCTTATGAGCCGTTTTTATCTCCTTTTGTTTGCAAAGGTGATTGTTTAGAATTCCATCCTGGAATTCTCTGGCGTTCTGTGGAGAAAGTTGCCACTGAGTGTCACTGCACTTTTCTACAACCTGTAGATACATTTCATTATGATTCTGGTCTCATACCGTTAAAAAAAAAAGGTCAAAAGCTGAAGAGGAGAACTTTAAAAAAATGTTCAAAGGACCATGATCCCATGTTTTAATTTATTTTAAACCTAAATAATATATATTGAATCAAAGGGATACCATAAAATATATGTGTAATACACTATATAATATTGATGGAAATACACAATTTTTTATCAAAAAGTAATTTACCTGATTCAAATGATTTTTTGCGGCCTTCAATTCCATGTTTAGTGTTCTAAGAGCGAGTTCAAATTGTTGTTTTGTTTCAACTTCTTTATTATATTGGTCTTCTTTTCTTCTTAACCTCTCCCTAATTTTTTCATATAACATATCAGCATTTCTTCTTTTTTCTTCTTCTTGTTTTAAAGTAAATCTGCAATTAAATATGCTTATTTTAAAATTTGTTTTGTTAGGGGCGCCTGGGTGGCGCAGTCGGTTAAGCGTCCGACTTCAGCCAGGTCACGATCTCGCGGTCCGTGAGTTCGAGCCCCGCGTCAGGCTCTGGGCTGATGGCTCACAGCCTGGAGCCTGTTTCCGATTCTGTGTCTCCCTCTCTCTCTGCCCCTCCCCCGTTCATGCTCTGTCTCTCTCTGTCCCAAAAATAAATAAATGTTGAAAAAAAAAAATTTAAAAAAAAAAAATTTGTTTTGTTAGAAATAAAAAGTTCCTCCTATGATCTGGTTCCACATGTTGGCTTACTGTCCAAATGAAATTTCTATGTTCTCAAATTTTTTTCCTTTCTGGGGCTGTTTTTAATTTCTCACTTGAATCTCTTCCAAAAGATATATACAATTGAAAAGAAGCAATGAGAAAGCATTATGCAACTTAGTTTTAGTCAGTAATAACTCTGGTAGATGTTGTAAGAAAGGAAGTGTGAAATTATTCAGAAAAGTTAGAGTTGAAAATTACCCCTTTTCCTACAGGTGTAATTATTCCTCCATAGGACAGATAATTCAGTTACTCGTTAAAAAGAGAAGTTACTGTTTATAAACAATTTTATCAATTCACTAGAAATAAATTTCCACTTGACAAAACATTACAGGTACCTCCAAAAATGATGTGCAGTGTAAGAGAGCATCTGCGGATGTTGTTTACACAACATACACGTGCAGATTACTGTCATCCAAGACTAGGCTAGCGAGTCTAATATCTGTTGCCCTATACTTTTTGTTTCTTCTTCCACCACACTTGCAACTTACCTTGTTGATTATCTACTTTATGAATCACTTAAGAATCCCTTCTAGAACAACACAGGATACGTATTAAGTAAACAATAAAGAGTAATATGTGATTTCAGCATACACGTTTGAATTAATTTTATCTACCTATGACAGATGTTAAAAAACTTATCAGTTATCACTTTCCGTATTACTTTTTTTTTTAATGTTTATTCATTTTTGAGAGAGAAAGGGAGAGCACATGCAAACAAAGGAGGGGCAGAGAGAGAGAGGGAGACAGAAAATCTGAAGTGGGTTCTGCACTGACAACAGAGAGCTCGATGTGGGGCTCGAACTCATGAACCCTGAGATCATGACCTGAGCCAAAGTCAGACACCTGACTGAGCCACCGAGGCACCCCCATTTTACTTTGTTTAAATTTTTTATTGAGAGAGACATGACACAAGTGAGCGAGGGCAGAGAGAGAGAAAGAGACAGAATCCCACGAGGGGCAGAGAGAGAGGGAGAGACAGAGAAGAGGGGTTCACCCGAAACGGGGCTCGTGCTCACCCAAAGCAGGGCTCGAGCCCACCCAAAGCGGGGCTCAAACTCATGAGATCATCACCTGAGCTGAAGTCAGATGCTTAACCAACTGAGCCACCAAGGCACCCCCACTTTACTTTTTAAACCCTGAATGTTGAGAATAAAACAGAATCAATTTTTGGGAATTTTTCTGTCTTGAGAGAAATGACTATTTTATACTCTGTTGCTGGGTATAGAGATTAATATAAACTTTCCCGAGAACAATTGAACAATGTGGATCAAAGACCTTTTTAAAAATTTTTATACTTTAATCAAATAATATTATATTGAAGAATTTATTCCAAGTAACCAGAAATGTAGAAACAGATTTATATAAAAGACATTCCTTACAGCATTCATTAAAATACAGAAAAATGAAAAACAAGCAAAATTCAATCTGTTAAATAATGACATTTGTATATGGTGGACTTTTAAATGGCCATTAAACTTATGATTTGGAAAATACATTAAATTATTACAAGTATTCACTGTTAAGAACTTGCTGTATTATTTCCAAGAACCTCACACTTCACAACACTAAAGAAGTTTTCTTTCCTGTAAAATCCCACATGGTTAAGTTAGCAGTTACAAAACTGTCCCTATACATCTGTAGTATAAAAGTAAACAGTTCAAATGTTTCTTTAAAACCAAGATGCTATACCTCAAACTGCAGAATTCATGTTCCCATTCCACTTTTTGATGCTCTAACCGTGATTTCATGTCTTTTGCTTCTCGTAGCTCGTTTTGTAGTGCACTAACTGTTTTTTCCATTTTTTTAATTTTTCCTGTAAGTAGTTTACAGTGACTTTTGTTAAGTTTCATTAATCTTTCATAGGAAAGAACTATATCTTGGATTTTCAAGAAGCCAACAGTATCTACATCAGAGAAGAAACAGAAATAAAATATATGAGTACTTTTTGCATATACAGGACTGTGCATTTTCAATTTACTCATTCACACATTAAATAAATATATACCTTCAATGTAAGATGTTATACTCAGCTCTACAGATACAATAGAGAAGACCCCTGGTTCTCAATTAGCTTAAAGTCTAGTGAAGGAGAAAGACAACTCAAATGATAATTCTAAATTCAGATAGTTCCTATTAGAAAACAGAGTTCTGTGATCATAACTTGATCTAGATTGGGCCCAAGGAAGATAGATTTCCCTGAGGAAGAGATAACTATACTGAGGAATGAAGGATAAGCAGGAGGCAATTAAGCAAATGAGGAAGACAAGCACTCTCGACAGTCTAGAGTATGTGCCGAAGTTCCACTGTAATCTGCTTCTGGCCAAGATGGAGTAACACGTACTGATTGATCTTCCTACCTGAAGCAAGCAAAAACAAAACAGACAAAATACAATTTTAACATGATTTTCAAGACACAGAACTTCAGACAATGAAGGACAATGATCCCTGAAAACAAAACACGTTAGCCTAACACATGCCCAAGCTCACTGCCTTGAGAGAATGTTCAGGCTACGACACAGGAGAAAAGCATTATTTAAATAGCCTCCACCAGACTCCTTGAGTTGAGATGATGAAACTGAGAGTCTGGCAAATTCAAGGCAGATAGAGATGACAGGTCAGCATATAGGAGAGGAGAAAGCAGAACAGAGAAAAAACCCTGGAGATCGGCAAAGGGCCCCCTTTGGGTATTCAGCAGAGTAACAACCAATGCATACATGGAAGGAAGTCATCAAGGGAAAAAAATCTGAAAAGAGTAGAGGAAACACTCCCTGGTGCTCTCACAGAACAAGGGACAGTATCTATTCACATTAGCTAGGATAGAAAAACTCATAATTTGCCTTAGGCTGATCACCATTCTGGATTCATCTAATAATTGGCAAGAGCAAGAGACTAAAGGATAAAACTGTTCGTAAGTAACATAACTATATCTCCAAACAAAGCATGAAAAGATAAGTAGAGGCATAGAAGCTATTGTTTTAAAAACTGAATGGCACTCACAGAGATGTAAACTATGTTAGACATGAAAAATACAATGGATAGGAATAAACACATATTAGACATCACAAGATGTCTAATCACAAGAAAAAATGGCCAAAATCTTTCTAAACTGAATGAAAACTATAATCCCACAGATCCAGGAAGGATCTGTCTGGGAAAGAAGAAATTTAAGTAAACTATTGTAATTTTCTTAAACTATATATGATGTGGTATAACATTAATGGAAGCTAGACTGTGATGTTTAACCCACAGACTATAAAACCTAAAGCAACCACTACAATAGCAAAACTACAAAGTTCTAGCTAGTATCCAAAATCTGTAAAAAACCCACCAAACTCCACACCCAAAAAACAAATAATCTGGGGAAGAAATGGGTAGAACACATGAATAGACACTTTTCCAAAGAAGACATCCAGATGGCCAACAGACACATGAAAAGCTGCTCAATGTCACTCCTCATCAGGGAAATACAAATCAAAACCACACTGAGATATCACCTCACACCAGTCAGAGTGGCTAAAATGAACAAATCAGGAGGCTATAGATGCTGGGGAGGATGTGGAGAAACAGGAACCCTCTTGCACTGTTGGTGCGAATGCAAAATGGTGCCGCCACTCTGGAAAACAGTGTGGAGGTTCCTCAAAAAATTAAAAATAGATCTACCCTATGACCCAGCAATAGCACTGCTAGGAATTTACCCAAGGGATATAGGAGTGCTGATGTGTAGGGGCACCTGTACCCCAATGTTTATAACAGCACTTTCAACAATCGGCAAATTATGGAAAGAGCCTAAATGTCCATCAACTGACGAATGGATAAAGAAATTGTGGTTTTTATACATAATGGAATACTACGTGGAAATGAGAAAGAATGAAATACGGCCTTTTGTAGCAATGTGGATGAACTGGAGAAGTGTTATGCTAAGTGAAATAAGTCATACAGAGAAAGACAGATACCATATGTTTTCACACTTCTGTGGATCCTGAGAAACTTAACAGAAGACCATGGGGGAGGGGAAGGAAAAAAAACGTTAGAGAGCCAAACCATAAGAGACTCTTAAAAACTGAGAATAAACTGAGGGATGATGGGGAGTTGGGGGTGGTGGTGATGGGCATTGAGGAGGGCACCTGTTGGAATGAGCACTGGGTGTTGTATGGAAACCAATTTGACAATAAATTTCATATTAAAAAAAAACAAGGAAGATACACAGATGTCAAACAAGCACATGAAAATATGCCCAACACCATCAGTTATTAGGGAGATATATATTAAAACCATAATGATATATATACTAAATATACATCCAAATGTCTAGGATTTAAAAAGCTGACAATACTAAGTGTTCATGAATATGTATGTAGGAATTGGTGCTCTCACAGACTGCTGGTGGGAATGGCAAATGGTGCAACTCCTTTAGAAAACAATTTGGCAGCTTCATAATAAGGGAATATAGAGGGACAGGAGATTTTTAAGGGTGATGAATATGTTAACTGTCTGGATTATGGTTATCGTTTCATACGCGTAAACATATGTCAAAACTATCAAATGACACACTTCATATATGTGCAGTTTACCTAACTAAAGCTGTTGGAAACAAAAAGCTCTTTCACAGGAAGAAATGTCTAAAACAGTGGATAAGACACAGATGGAATGAAGGATGTAAAACAATGCAAGATGAAGCCAGAGGACTGTGGCCTTTAACCTAATAGCAATGAGAAGTAATAGCTTAGCTTTAAGCAAGGAGGTAACATGATGAAATACACATTTTTAAAAATACATAATAATTATGGTTGCAGTGCAGACCAAGGTCCTGGGAGGCTGAATGGCAGGGAAAACAGTCCTGCGGTTATTTCAGTAATCTAGGAGAAAAATAATGACCTGACCTGGGTGAAGGCACAGAAGAGAAGCAGAGTTAACAAACATTAGATGTGCCATTCCCACTAAGAAAGGTACAGTAGAAATGATGACTCTTTGGCTGACAGGATACAATAGTTCTCCTTTAATATAAAACATATTTCTGAGATGAGCAGCTCTACACTATAGCAGGTGTGCACATATTACTACAGCAATATACATAAAAAGGCTTCCTACCTTTACAATCCATGCCAAGTTTTTCAATTAGCAACATGAAATTCTTAGAGTAAGGCAACTCACAATCCTCTGAAGCTGTTTCAGATGACTGAATTAAGTCGACAAGGTCATCCATAGACGTAACTTGCTTTTTGACCTATAAATAATTAATATTATTTCAAAATGTCCCCCAAATATTTATAAACTATACTAGGTATAGAGAAGTGATAAATACCCATCTTTTTATAAAAGCAAAAACAGGGGCACCTCGGTGGCTCAGTCGGTTGAGCACCCGACTCCATTTTGGTTCAGGTCATGACCTCAGGGTTCCTGAGTTTGAGTCCCATGTTGACCTCCACAATGACAGCATGGAGCCTGCTTGGGATTCTCTCTCCCCCTCTCCCTCTGCCCCTCCCCTACTTGTGTGTGCTCTCTCTCAAAATAAATTTTAAAAATAAGTAAATAAACATTTAAAAGCAAAACCACAGAGACATTTTAAAAGAACGGATTTTTATCAAAAAGACACCATTATCAATAGCTAGTATTTCTAAATAAATTTTTCATAGAAAATGTCTCTACAGCAAAGGAAGATTTTCTATTTTTTCACTACATCTTTCATAAAGTATTTTTTTAACCACTGAATAATATTTCTAATAAATATTTATCAAAATAATATAATAAAATAAAAATAAAATAAATAACAAATAAAATTATATTGTATATTTTTCTTACCTTGTTCTTTTTCTTAGAAATTTTCTTTGCAGGTCTGAAAAAACCCAACAATTCTTTTCAGGCAAATATTAAATACTTAAAATACAAAGGATATTTAAACCTATTGTTTTGGATATAAAATCTCTGCATTTGAAACTAATTTTCTACAAAGGGGATTAAACAACAGAGTAACATTAAACAACATAGAAAATATACTACTGCTAATATTAACAAAGGATTAGGTGTATCCAGTTGTAGTATATGTGCTGCTGAAGCGAGCACAACAAAGTACTAAATTTAGATAAAAACTAACAAAAGCAAAGGAAAATCCTAATGCTACTTGCATTATTTGATAGGAATGATACCATTGTTTTTGTTGTTGTCATTTTTACTAAAAATAAGCTTTTACTGGCACTAAAACCTACTTGGAAAGTGCAAGTTAAGTCCTTATATGAAAGAACCCCTTTTTAACAATCATGATATTAACGTGTTGAAGACTCACTATGCAACTACTATCTAGGTATTATTATGAGCACTTTACATGTCTTAAAGGTATTTTAAGCCTCACAACAATCCTATGAAGTAGGTTATTATATTAGTATTTTACACAGGAAGAAAATGAGGCACAGAAAGTCGAAGTGACTTGCCCAAGAAGCCCTAATAGCTGGCCAAGAACAGACCCTGAATTCAAACCCAGGAATGTGCCTTCAAAACATGTGTTTTAGAATATGTGGTTAAAGCAATACTTAAGTGTTTCTAACTAATAGCAAATGAATCTACATTATTATTCTATTTCTAACTATAGCTATACATAACAATTTCTGACTCTTACACATTCTTTTAAGAGACTTTATACCTAGGCAATATTGGAAACCTACTTTCAATAAACTAAAGATTTGCTTCTTCTAGAGAAGTTCATCAACAGGCATTCATTCATTCATTCATTCAACTGTTTATTCCCACGTTCAACACATACTTATTGAACATATAATCTGTGTCAATGACACTGCTGGTACAGGAAGCATGGTTTTTGTAATTTAGAGCTTTCTAGTCCAAAAGGAATAATCTGTTATGGATTACTAGTTTATTTTCCAATTGTAAATAAGCAAAATCTTCCCCTTTCCCCAGAATGTAAATAAATATTAACTTGATATAACCAGATACTTTAAAGTCCCTAACAAAATCATAACTATTTGTGATACTATCAAAGGCACTGAATATCTAAAATCACCCAGGAAGGATTAGTTCTATTCAGAATGGCCTCAGTGTTTGTGTATTTTTTATTATATATATATGTACATAATAAAATATAATTATATATAAATATATATATAAATATATATAAAAAATATATATTATATAATATATAATTATATATTATATATACATTATAATATTTATTTTATATATATTTACTTACATAATATAAAACATAATATAATATATAATATAAATATAAATATATATTCTGTATTTTATATAAATATATTTTACATATTTATATAAATATAAAATAAATATAATAAATATAGTAAATAATATAATATATAGTATAATAAATGTATAATATAATAATATATCATACATTATATATAATTAGTATATATAATATAATATATATACACACTATATAACAATACATAATACATAGAAATAATATATACTGTAATATATATTAAAGTTATATATAACATAATATAATATATATAATTATATATATATAATACATACACATACATATATATATTTTTAAATCTGTACATTCAATTATATGAGAATACCCCATCATGGAATCAATTCTGAATAAACCAACTTTTCCACAAAATTACATGAATAGTAGTACTAAGGACAATTACTATAATCTTTTAAAAGATAATGTAATACAATCAACAAACTTCCTAATGTTTGGAAACACAAACAATTTTAAATTAACTAACCATGTCTATCTCTATTGATCATTTCCAACAGAATACATACTCTAAAAGTTCCCATCTTAAAAAGAGAAAGAAAATGCCTTTGCAATTCACATTCTTTTTCAGTTATCATCCATTTCTCTATTACCGTTCCCAATTAAAATGCTCTAAGGAGTTGTTTACACTTACCTTCCATACTTTCAGGGTGACTACTGAAACTGCTCCTTGACAAAGTCACTTAACCTCATCATAACTTTTCAAGCAGTGTATTTGATATGTTGAGTATTTCTTGCTTTAGCTTGGACCAACCTACACTACAGCATTTTATTTTCACAAAAGGTAACCACTGCTAAAATTCCTTCACAGGGAAATAAAGAATTGATAGACTTTACCTGCTTTCATGCTGATCCTTTTCACTTAAACTGCTGCCCTCATTCATTTGTAGTAGACCACCAGTTAGGGAATCGGCCTTCTTCAACACTGGTGTGATCACAGATTCTTCTGATGTCCCTTCTTCATCTTCACCTTTCTTTAACTTCTTCATATGTAAACCAGGTTCACTACTTTAAAAAAAATCCATTAAAAAGCCATATAAAAAGCCAACGTTTTCTAATAATTTTACTGATAAAGAATAAAAAGACAATTTTCATAAAGTTCTGAATTTTACCCATCTGACTTAATTTATTAATTCACAGAACAGTGATGAAGTACCAACCATATACAAGGAAATACTTATTTGTTGCTTCAAACACAGATAAATATATAATTATAATACAACGTGATTTGTAAGAATTGACATATGAAAAGCTGTGAGTGAGGACCAGAAAGGTTTTATTGAAGAGGGAAAATAAACAGGAGAGGTCACCAGGAAAAGAAACAGGAAAAAACCATTTTCTTAAGCGATTAGAATGTGAGCACAAAGATTACATAGATTGCATCTAGGTGCCTTGAAAGGAAAAGTACAAACTTTTAGGAACTTGAGGGAAAAAAGCATAAAATACATGGAAGCAAGTAGTAAGAGATAAGTCAGGAAAGAAATTCTGAAGAACCTTGAAGGTTACACTAAAAAGTTAGAGTTCACTGCCTAAAGGCAGTGATTCTTAGACATGGGAGTAATAATTAGATTTGCGCTATATTTTTGGTTTTGCTTTTAAATCTGAAAATGCTTAATTTAAACAAAGTTTTAAAATAGTATGAGGTCCATATAACATGAAAGAAGAAATCAGGGAAATATCTTAGGGGAAAAACTACTTTTAAAATACCCATATGTCAGAGTGATATCAGTATCATAGCTGAATGAGATGTACCTTGTTGCAACTGCCCACCTACAACAAACTGGCATCTATCTACCCACGGACAAAACTGCCTTTGCAGGAGCTGTGGGGACCTAGCACCATATTCCAAGGGACTGAGGAAAAGTCTTGCCTACCTGTGCATCAGGTAACAGGCATACATACTATAGTCTATCTGTGGACCTAGCAATAGCCTATAAACTGCCTCCAGTCCCTCCCTCTCAGCCACATCTGGGAGTCCCTCCCTAGAAAACACTAAGATAATCACCTGCGGATGAGAGAGCCTTTTTGGAAAATGAGGTGTCCTGCAGAGAATTTCCAGCACACCACTGGAGCAAAAAAATCAGGTTTGGACATACTGAAGAGGTAGTCATTAAAGACTGGAGGAGGTGACTGCTACTTCAAATGCAAAGACAGCAATGCAAAATTGCAAAGAATATAAAATATCAAGGAAATATGATACCACCAAAGGATCACAATAATCTTCCAGTAATCAATCTGAAACACATGGAGATCTGTTATTTATTCAAAAGAGAATTCAAAATAGCAATTTTAAGGAAAATGAGTTACAAGAAAACACAAAAAGCCAATTCAGTAAAATCAGAAAAATACTATATGAATAAAATGAGATGTTTAACAAAGAGCAGGAAATAGTAAAAAATAACTAAACAAAAATCCTGGAGCTGAAGAGTATAATGAATGAGATGAAAAAAGCAAGAGTGATCACTGACAGGAAAATGGATCAAGCAAAAAAAAAAAAAAAAAATCTGTGAATTTAAAGACAGGAACTTTCAAATAATGCAATCAGCAGAGAACAAAGTAAAAGAATGAAAAAGAGAGAGGAAAGACTATCTGATTACAAGTGAACCCTCATAAGGCTATTAGCAATTTCTCAACAGAAACCTTACAGGCCAGGAGAGAGTGGGATTGTATGTTCAAAGTGCTAAGAGAAAAAGACTACCAATCAAGAATACTTTACTCAGCAAAATTATCCTTCAGAAATCAAATAAATATATTTGATATATACCACATTAACAGAATAAAAAAATCATATGATCATCACAATAGGTAAGGAAAAAGCATTTGACAAAATTCAACATCTTTTCATGATAATAACTCTCAATAAAGTGGGTACTTTCTGAAAAATATAGTAAAAATTACAAGACTTTGATAAAAGAACAGCAGAGACACAAGCAAATGGAAATATACCCCATTGTTTAGGGATTAGAAAAATCAGCATTGTTAAATATCCACATTACCTGAAACCACCTACAGATTCAATGCAATCCTTGTCAAAATTCCAATGACCTTCTTCACAGAAATAAAAACATTCCTCACATTTGTAAGGAACAAAAAAGACCCCAAATAGCCAAAGCAATCCTAAGAAAGAAGAACAAAGCTGGAAGCATCACACTTCCTGGTGTCAAACTATTACAAAGTTATGGTACTAAAAACCATATGAACTTGCATAAAAACAAACACAAAGATGAACGAAACAGAATCAAGAACCCAGAAATAAACCCATGCATAAAGTCAACTAAAATTTGTTAAGAGACCCAAGAATACTCAGAAGAGAAAGGATAATCTCTTCAATAAATGATGCTGAGAAAACTATATTAACATCCAAAAGAATAAAACTGTACCGCTACCTTACACCACTCACAAAAATTAATACAAACCCAAATAAAGACTTTTATGTAAAACCTTCAATCATAAAACTTCTAGAAGAAAACAGGATAAAAGCTCCTTGACATTGATCTTATATATGATTTAGGATATGACATCCAAAGTACAAGCAATAAAAGCAAAAACAGTGCAATAAACAATGTTTCTGCACAGCAAAAGAAACAAGCAACATGACGGAAAGGCAACCTATGGAAAGGATGAAAACATTTGCAAACTACAAATATGAAAAACATCAATATCTAAAATGTGTAAGGAATTCATACAATTCAATAGCAAAAAACAAATATAATTAAAAACCGGGCAAGGCACCTTAATAGACATCTCTCCTCAGAACATATTCAAATGGCCAGCGGTACATAAGAAGGTGCTCGATATCACTATTCACCATGGAAATGCAAATCAAAACTGCAGTATATAGATATCACTTTGACCTATTAAAATGGCTATTGCCAAAAAGACAAGAGATATCACTGGCAATGATGTACGGGAAAGGAATTCCTTGTACTGCTGTAGGACTGTAAATTGGTACAGCCACTATGTAAAACAGTATGGTGGTTCCTCAAAAAACTAAAAATAGAACCTCCATATGATCCAATAATTCCATTTCTGGGTATATATCTTAAAGACATGAAATCATTACCTCGAAGAGATATGTACAGCCCTATGTTTATTGCAGCATTATTTTCAATAGTCAAACAACCTAAGCATCCATCAATGGATCAATGGATTAAAAAATATGGTATAGATTTACAATGGAATATTTTCAGCCACAAACAAGAAGGAAATCCTACCATTTGTGACAACATGAGTGAAACTTGAGGGCATTATGCTCAGTGAAAATAAATCAGAAACAGGTAGATAAATACTGTATGATCTGACTTATATGTGGACTCGTAAAAAAAAAAAAAAAATTCACAGAAACAGAACAGACTGGTGGTTGCCAGGGTTAGGAGGCTATGAGAAATGGGTAGATATTGGTCAAAGGGTACAAACTGCCTGTTACAAGATTAATAAATTCTGGGGATTTAATGTGCAGGATGGTGATTACAGTTAACAATACTGTATTATAGGGGCGCCTGGGTGGCACAGTCGGTTAAGCGTCCGACTTCAGCCAGGTCACGATCTCGCGGTCCGTGCGTTCGAGCCCCGCGTCAGGCTCTGGGCTGATGGCTCAGAGCCTGGAGCCTGTTTCCGATTCTGTGTCTCCCTCTCTCTCTGCCCCTCCCCCGTTCATGCTCTGTCTCTCCTGTCCCCCCCAAAAAAATAAATAAACGTTGAAAAAAAAAAAAACAATACTGTATTATATATTTGAAAGTTGCTACAAGAGTAGATCATCACAAACAAGAAATGATAATTATGTGAGGTCATGGAAGTATTAACACTATTGTGGTAACCATTTTACAATATAAAAGTGTATCAAATTAATAGAGGTATACCTTATAGTTACACAGTTGTATGTTAATTATGTCAATAAATCTAGAAAAACTTCAAAAATTCTGAAGTACTCATATGTCATATATATCACTCAAAAATAGCAACAATCTGATTAGCTATGCTTTTGTTTGGGGAAAAAAAAAATGGTTTGCGGCGCCTGGATGGCTCAGTCTGTTAAGTGTATGACTTCAGCTCAGTTTGTGATCTAATGGTTTGTGGGTTCCAGTCCCACATCAGGCTCTGTACTGACAGCCCAGAGCCTGGAACCTACTTCTGAATCTTTGTCTCCCTCGCTCTCTGCCCGTCCCCCACTCTCACTTTGTCTCTCCAAAAATGAATAAACATTAAAAAAAAAATTAAAAACAAATGATTTGGAAACTCTTAGCCTCGTATCTAATCCTGATAGAAAAAACTAGGGGATTCGCCAAAAAGAAAATTATAATTACTTTTTCATGGACTAAATGCATGCAAGAGAATATTATTACCATGCAGCTACATACATTTCCAAAAACAATGAAACTTCCCACAGATTATTTAGGACTTAAACATGAGCCCTTAAGAGCACCAAAAACAAAAACTAGCAATTGTTTTCTCAAAAAACTGTTGTACAGATAACTTTTCTAGTTGAAATAACATCCAAGAAAAGAAGAATCTTTCTGAAAGCAATTATCAAACAATTCCTCTTGACCCAAACTTCAAAAATGAATCTGTAATTATAGAATTTGAAATAGCTTTCATTTTGAACACAGTGAATAGAAGCAGCTTTTAAATAGAAAACATCTGGTGAAAGCCACCTCAAACTTAGAAACACAAAAACAAAAAACAAAAACAAAAACAAAACCCTAACATGTAGCCATGGTAACAAGAAGCCACCAGAATCAGTTTTAAATGTGTTAATCAATGCCCACAAGCCTTACTCACCAACCAATCCATTTCAGCCCCTTCCTTCTGAAAGACAGCCAATAAAGGACAAAATCACTCTAACACATATGCCTCAGCATGCCAACCAATCCACAACAGTCTCACCCAAATAACCATGGTACTTCAGATGATGACAAACCATTTAATTCTCTGAAAGTCCCCCAATCCTTAAACTCCACTCTTCCCCAAACCCTGTGTAAGAATAGCAGACTGCTCTGTTAGAAAAGACTATACCTAACCAGCATAGCTCGCTCTTATTTGTAAGTGATAAATTCCAACTTCATCTTTTTATTTCAGGTATTGAGGGCTCATAATCCCTTGGCAAGAATTTTTAAAGTCCTATAATAATTTGCACCATGTTTTAGTTTCCTTAATAAATATAAAGGAAGTTTGCCATTCCTTTGATACATTTTACCGTAATTAAAACTAACATAAATATAACTAAAAGAAAAGTAGCAAGTAAACACAATATTGGGCCCCCCAAAATCCAAAAAATGTATATAACTGGCAGGTTTAATTGTCAGAATGAACCCACGCCAAACTTTGTAAAAGTGAGAACTAGTATTATGTTAAACACAATATACACAGGCTAAACTCCGTTCACTCAATAAACATTATTGAATAAGCACTATATACACTAGAACATTTTCTAGGTACTGAGGACATGGCAACGAACAGATAACAATCCTACTCATGAGTGAAGTAAACATACAATAACAATAAACTACATAGGCAAAATATACAGTATTAGAGGAGAAAAATTAAAGCAGAGAAATCAAATTTTGATGTGTTATAGGAAAAAGGTAGTTGAAATACTAGTCAGGATGGCCAAGAAAGGCCTTGCTGAGAAAGTGACATTTAAGCAAAAAACTGAAAGAAAAAACAAACAAAAAGGGAAAAAGCAAGCCATGAGGTATCAGAAGGAAAGCATTCCAGATAGAGTCAACAGCAAGTACAGAAGTATGTCCGAAGTACTTAAAGAGTAGTGAGAAATTCAGTATGGCTGGACAGAATGAAAGGGGTAGAAAATAGTTCAAATCAGACAGAAGGAGACACCTGAGAAGAAAAGATCCTATATAGGACTTGTCGGTATTAGGAAGAGTTTTGGCATGTACTCTGAGTGAAATGGGAGGCAATTAGGTTTTGAGCAGAGGAAGGACACAATCTGACTTACATTTTAATAGATCCAATGTGTTCAGAATTAAAGGAAACAGAGTAAAAACAAAAGAAGAAACAAACAAACAAGAAGACCAATTAATTACCTATTACACCAATATAAACAACAGATGACAGTCTCTTGGTCATGGAAGATATGTTTGGATTCTGGATATATTTGAAGGAAGACCCGACAAGATTTGCTGACAGATTAGATGTGATGTGTATGAAAAAGAGAAAGAAAAAGACAAAGAAAAAGAAAAAGAAAAAAAAAAAAGACAGGACTCAAAGATGATACCAAGTTTTCTAGCAGAGCAACTCATGGAACTGTTATTAACTCAATTAGGAAAGACATGAAAGGTAAATATTAAGAAAGAATATTAGTTCAATTTTGGACATGTTAAGTTTGCAATAGCTATCCAGAAAGAGATATCAAGTAGGCAGTTTGATATGTGGGTCTGGAATTATGGAGAGAGATCCGGGCTGAAGATATAAACTTGAGGATCATTAGAATATACAAGATAGTAAAAGTCAAGAGAAGGAAAATCAAAGGCAAATTCCTGGAAGACATCAATGGGTTAAAAGGTGGAGGACGAGGAGAAACAAGCAAATCAGGCTGAGGTGTACAGACTAGAAAGGCAGCGGGAAAATCAGGTGAGTGAGTGATATCCTAAAAGCAACATGGAGACAGAATTTTGGAGGAGAGAGTTTTCCATTGGGTCAAATATTGCTGAAAGGTTAAATAAAATGAGATGTATGAAATTATGTTCAGACTCATTAAAGTGAAAATCAGTGGTAACCTTGAAAAAACAATTCTGGAGTAGTGAAGATTGGAAAGGGAAAATTGCTACAATGAATTCAAGAGTGGATGGGAGGGAAATCAGGATCAAAGAGTGAAGAAGGCTCTTTAAGGATTTATAGCTAAGTGGAATGATCATCATTGATCTAATTTTCTATTATTGCTGTAGTTTTCAATTGTTACATAAGGATTACGTAACATTTTTGTAATATTTTGAAGTCTTAAAAATTGCACATATGTAACACTAGTTTTTTTTTTTTTAATGCTAGACCAAGGTACTAAATAACTCACGAAATTATACAATGAGAAGACTCCTTAAAATTTTCTAGATATATAATATTATATAAGCTGATTACCATTTCTCTCATGCTTAGAAAGACCACAGAAAAACTAAATTTCAAGGGCAGTATTTCATGCTTGATAAAAATTATTGACCTCTAAGGGCACCTGGGTGGCCCAGTCCATGAAGTATCCAACTCTTGATGTCGGCACAGGTCATGATCTCTAGGGTCATGAGATGGAGCACTGCATCAAGCTCTGCACTGACAGCATGGAGCCTCCTTGGGATTCTCTCTCTCCCTCGCTCTCTGCCCCTCCCCCACTCATGTGAGCATGCTCTCTCTCTCTCTCTCAAAATAAACATTTTTAAATTTTTTTTTTCAACATTTATTTATTTTTGGGACAGAGAGAGACAGAGCATGAACGGGGGAGGGGCAGAGAGAGAGGGAGACACAGAATCGGAAACAGGCTCCAGGCTCTGACCATCAGCCCAGAGCCCGACGCGGGGCTCGAACTCACAGACCGCGAGATCGTGACCTGGCTGAAGTCGGACGCTTAACCAACTGCGCCACCCAGGCACCCCAAAATAAACATTTTTAAAAAGTCACCTAACTCTAGGATATTTTATACTATCCAAAGTAATTAGCATATTAAAATTTTATACACAGAACTAAAAGGGGGTGAGAATGCAGAAAATATTCCTACTTTGTAAACTGAATTGTCATAAATTGCATAACATGAAGGCACTGTTGAAAAATTTGGTGTGGTGCATGTTGAAATATGTTCTCTTTAAAAAGGAAGGATAATGGCATCCAAGCAAGGTACCTTTATAAAAACGATTCATTGCATTATCAGCATTTTTGTTTATAGCACAGGGGTCATCAAATGTTTATGTAGAATATGAGACAAGTTGCCATGTGAAACCTCTTGGCAATATTCAGATTAAGTTGAGGGTCCAACATTTGAGCACTCATGCACTGGGAAACAAAACCAAAAATCTAATAACTAGCAATTTTGCTGGTAATGAAGTAGACTGCCAGTGTAGCAGGGAACTTCCTTTTGCAATTCAGTAGATATTAAAAGTATTCTAACAAAATGTACATAAGACATGACATCAAACCAAATGCTTTAAATATACTTTGTTAAACCATCAGTACACTGTAAACCAAATTTCATTTTTTAAAATGGTCACATACTCCATTATTTTATAGAAGTGAAAATTTACTTCCTTATTAATGGATATTTAGCCTGTCTCTGGGGCTCCTAGGTGGTTCAGTCCGGTGAGCATCCAACTATTGATACTGGCTCAGGTCATGATCTTGTGGTCGGGAGATCGAGCCCTGTGTTGGCCTCTGCACTGTTACCATGGTGTCTGCTTATGATTCTCGCTCTCCCTCTGTCTCTGCCCCTCCCCAAAGCACACATTCTCTGTCTCTCTCTCTCAAAATAAGTAAATACACATTTAGGCTATCTTCAATTTTTTGATATGGGAATGCTATAATAAATATCCTTAATATATACACATAACATATTTATGTAAGTAACCTTAAAATATCTATCCTATTTTATATACATAATAAATGTCCTTACAGTGTGTGTGTGTGTTTATAGAAGTCTTGTTTTCCTGGAGGATCCAGTCCTGGCAATGAAGCCACTGGAATAACGGGATGACCTATCTGAAAATTGTTTTCATGTTTTATCATTTATTTTTGACAGTGACAGAGACAGAGCACAAGCAGGGGAGTGGCAGAGAGAGAGGGAGAGACACATAATCTGAAGCAAGCTCCAGGCTCTGAGCTGTCAGCACAGAGCTTGACGCAAGGCTCAAACTCATGAAGTGCGAGATCACAACCTGAGCCGAAGTTGGACCCTTAACCAACTAAGCTGCCCAGGTGCAACGACGTTTCTGAAATTTTGAAACACACTGCTAAATGACCCTTCAGAAAGGATTTACCAACTTCATCTAGCCACAGTGAATAAGAATGTCATTTTCCTCACATTTCCTAACTTTATTTTTTATTTTATTTTTTTTTTAATTTTTTTATTTATTTTTGAGACAGAGAGAGACAGAGGATGAGCAGGGGAGGGGCAGAGAGAGAGGGAGACACAGAATCCACAGCAGGCTCCAGGCTCTGAGCTGTCAGCACAGAGCCCGACGCAGGGCTCGAACTCACAGACTGTGAGATCATGACCTGAGCTGAAGTCGGACACTTAACCGACTGAGCCACCCAGGCGCCCCACTTTGATTATTTTTTAATAAAATATTTATCACTATGACTGCAAAAAATGGTATCTCATTATTTACATTTTTCTGATTACCACATAGGATGAAATATCTCCATGAAAAATACGAAACTTGTTCATCATGAACATCAGCTCAAACTATAAAAGTTTGTTGCATAGGAAAATAACAATTACCTACTATTTAAACATTGCTATGGCTTACCTATCAGAATCTTTATTTTCTGTAACAGGAAATTGATGGTTATCAGTTTTTCCATTCTTTCTTTGTTGAATTAATCCAGCAGCTGCAGCATCATGTATGTTTTCTGATACTTCCATGTCACTACTTCTGTGCTTTTTTTCTTCAACCTTTAATGGAACTTGATACTAAAGGTAATTGTTACTTTAGTCAAGAAGTTTTTTCATTAATTTTATCAGTTGACAGTTTGTCATAATTTTAATTGATAAACATTTTGTGTTTAGTTTATCATTACATGTAATTATAATTTTTATAAAGTCGGCTTCATTTCTGTTTGAATAAAAAAAGCAGAATTTTCCAAAATTTCTGAAAGGGCTTTCTTAATTTTGTACTCTTATTCATACCCACACTTTGCTACCGAAAATTCCCCACCCCACCCCCACCCCATCTGACCAAGAAATACAAAGAAATAAAAAGACAAAGACAAAATTTGTCCTTTCCTATCCTTACCACCTGGGTTTTACACAACAGCCAGATTTAAAACATGTGACATTGAGGTGCTCCAGTAACAAAAACAGGAAGCTTTCCTCTTTCTGCACGAAGCTATTCTTTCCCTGACTGCCTTTTATAATTCTTTTTAATTTGGATCCCAAGGTTCTCAAAAAAAGTAACAGTGTTCCCTAAAATTTACAAAGGAAGGTTTGCCACAACACAAAAGGAACAGAGTGAAAAGGATGTTAGGCTGGAATTCTGGGAAATTAGTAATGCTCCCTGAATTTCACATTCAACAACCATAAAATTTTATAGGGAGAGGGTATAAAAGTAATTATCAACTTTAAACCCATTTTCTACTGATAATTCGAGTAAAACTAAAAAAGGTTAAATTTGTCCAAAGTTCCTGAAGTGGCATTACCTAGCATTTTATGGCACCAAAAGAGATGATACAATTCTTTAATGCACAATCAGATAAATAACCACAAATTCATTAAATTAATAGGATACCTTAAAAGTATGACTTTGGCACAGTAAATTAATACCTTCATAGGGGACAAGGACATTAGCTACTTTTTCTTTTAAAGAAGGATATCTCTAGATTTTGTCTATTTCTAAACTCCACACATCTCAAAACTCAGTTTTCTCCCTTGGAGTTAAATACCGAAGGTTTGCTGAAGGCTTATGCTACCTACATGGTAAAAATCATACATGTCAAAATGTGTCATACTTTATTAAACATAAAGTCAAAGTCTGACTCAACAGAAACATCTGAGAATGAGGATTTAAAAAGTGTGAAAAAAAGTGGTGATAATACAAATATTTGTTATTAAAACTATCTCAAAGAGGTCATGTTGAAATCTAAGTTCCAAGGTTGTGAGTAAAGCAGAGAAGACTGCATGTATTTGTGGGGAGTAAGCTTAGGAATTCCCTGAGCCTGCACTAATGGGTTAACAAGACATAAAGAATTACAAAGCCATAGGATGCTCACACCCAAGTTTGGGTAAACAAGATTAGGCAAATAAGATGAGAGAAGTGGGGCAAAGGGCCTCAGAATAGAGAGGAGGGCAAAGGCCCCCATACAAAGGTGTATGAGGTAAGCAAGATTAGGTATTCAGGGCAAAAATGCCCCCCAATTTAGTATCATAGCAGAAAGCTGCTTTCACAGGAAGGAAGGACCAAATTAGGTAAACAGGTAAATAGGGCTATAGGCTACAGGCTGCAGGGTAAAGAAGCCCAAAGGGGAGCTAATTAGCAAAAGAAAGGTGCCTTGTGGATCCTGAAGTAGCATCTGTCTTATCCCCTAGACTAGCTAAGATAAACAGATAAGATGCTCAGGTGGGCTGTTAACAACCATCTGCCAGGCACCAGGATTTTGTTTTATATTGACCCAAACCCCTAACACCCTATATCTTCAAACCCCCTTTCCCTCATGCCCATGAGCTCATGTTCACAGATTTACTATCTCTTTGTGCACATCAATCACCATGTTTGGAAGCCTTCTGATCCTAATAACAACAGAGCAAGGACCCTTAATTGGGGCTCTTGTGTTCTCCGGACATTAGCCATCTCTCCCATTTTAATCCTGCATCCCGCTGTCTTGCTAGACAAGAAAGAACCCTAGACCCAGGGTCTACTGACACATACTGAAGCAATTCTGGCTGGGAACATTTGTTTATATTCCTTCTCTTAGTTATTCCTTCCTTCCCCTTTTATTGTTTATGGAAATACAATTTATATTTAAGCCAATAGATTAAAAAAAACCCTGGAGATTATGTTTTTTAAGCAGTGTCTTGGGGCGCCTGGGTGGCGCAGTCGGTTAAGCGTCTGACTTCGGCCAGGTCACGATCTCCCGGTCCGTGAGTTCGAGCCCCGCGTCGGGCTCTGGGCTGATGGCTCAGAGCCTGGAGCCTGTTTCCGATTCTGTGTCTCCCTCTCTCTCTGCCCCTCCCCCGTTCATGCTCTGTCTCTCTCTGTCCCAAAAATAAATAAAAACGTTGAAAAAAAAAATTTAAGCAGTGTCTTTATGATTATTCTGGTTCATGAGGTCACATGGTACTTATATAGCTAATTAGTTTCCCAGTTCATATGCTACTTGGAAGACTGACACAGAAACTTTAAGGAAAACAAATCATAATGTTTTCCTGAACTCCTATTTGTTAGATAGCAGAAATAATCTATTTCCAGACACAATTACTTATTTAGACAATTCCATTTTATACAAACTCCTTTTCTCTTAAGTGGAAAATCAGAATGGATCGATAATTGCTAAAAAGAAAAAACAAGAGTAACAGCAAGGGGGACCTCTATCTCTTTTGGAAGTTGAACTTTCTCTTTTTCCAAAGCCAGGAACTCTACTCATTCTTAAACCTATTTTAAGATTATTTAAACCTACATGCCTATCTCATTCTTAAACCTTTGCATACCTTGATGTAATTCTTCACTTAAATATACTTTAGATGCTGGAAAACTAGATGGTGAAGAAGAACTCACAATTTCTAATTCAGACTTAACACTTTTATAGTTATGAGTACTGTCATTATCTGCATATAATGGCTTCTGGAAAAAGTCTTGTATTGGTTTTGTTTTCTTGTGTTTGTGACAGCAGAAATATCATGCCTTTTTGTCTGAATCACATGTTTCATCACATCGGAGCAGGCAAGCCACAAACCAAAAAGGCTCTCTGAATCACTAGACTGAGGTATATGTCCAATGTCTAATTTACAGTCGGTGGTATTTTGGTCCGTATTTTTTGCCATTTGCAAGTCAAACTCTTGGCCTTCTTTCACTTTAAATGTAACTAGTGGGTTCCTTGCTTTTTTATTTTCTATATCATTATAAAAATTCTCATTGTTGTTAAAAAGATGCTCAATGTCTGGTTTGTTCTCATCTTCATAGTCTGATTTACTTTCTTTTTTTTTTTATTAACATTTTTTATTTATTTTTGGGACAGAGAGAGACAGAGCATGAACAGGGGAGGGGCAGAGAGAGAGGGAGACACAGAATTGGAAACTGGCTCCAGGCTCTGAGCCATCAGCCCAGAGCCCGACGCGGGGCTCGAACTCACGGACCGCGAGATCGTGACCTGGCTGAAGTCGGACGCTTAACCAACTGCGCCACCCAGGCGCCCCTACTTTCTTTTTTTTAATATGAAATTTATTGTCAAATTGGTTTTCATACCACGCCCAGTGCTCATCCCAACAGGTGCCCTCCTCAATGCCCATCACCCACCCTCCCCTCCCTCCCACCCCCCATCAACCCTCAGTGTATTCTCAGTTTGTAAGAGTCTCTTATGGTTTGGCTCTCTCCCTAAGATGTTTTTTTTTTTTTCCCTTCCCCTCCCCCATGGGTTTCTGTTAAGTTTCTCAGGATCCACAGAAGTGTGAAAACATATGGTATCTGTCTTTCTCTGTATGACTTATTTCACTTAGCATAACACTCTCCAGTTCATCCACGTTGCTACAAAAGGCCATATTTCATTCTTTCTCATTGCCAAGTAGTATTCCATTGTGTATATAAACCACAATTTCTTTATCCATTCGTCAGTTGATGGACATTTAGGCTCTTACCATAATTTGGCGATTGTTGAAAGTGCTGCTATAAACACTGGGGTACACGTGCCCCTACGCATCAGCACTCCTATATCCCTTGGGTAAATTCCTAGCAGTGCTATTGCTGGGTCATGGGGTAGATCTATTTTTAATTTTTTGAGGAACCTCCACACTGTTTTCCAGAGTGGCTGCACCAGTTTGCATTCCCAACAGTGCAAGAGGGTTCTTGTTTCTCCACATCCTCCCCAGCATCTATAGTCTCCTGATTTGTTCATTTTAGCCACTCTGACTGGCGTGAGGTGATATCTCAGTGTGGTTTTGATTTGTATTTCCCTGATGATTTACTTTCATTTAAAGAAAGCGTAGAAGATGACTGGCAAGCATATTCTGGGGACCCAGAGTATGAATGAGAGAGAATGACATTTTCAAGACTAGGCTCTTTTTGTTCAGGAAATGCCTGAAATACTATTGACACAGACACTCCAAATGCATCTTCTTCCTCACAATCAAGTAAATTCCTAGCAGTGCTATTGCTGGGTTATAGGGTAGATCTATTTTTATTTTTTTTGAGGAACATTATTTGTCCAATTAGAAGGTATTTCCTTTAAGTTGGCTCCTTCTTTAGAGTGACCATGTGGTGGTTCTTCTTCAAGATAAGTAGGAATTCTGTACTGTTAACAAATTTCACCAAACTTCTGCTTTAACTGACTGGTAATGAGTTTTTAGCTATTTTTCCACTCTAATTTGCCTTGTTTGATCCACATTTCCTCCAAGTTTTGCATAGAAGCACGTCCTGAATATACAGATATATCATGCTCTCTATCACATTCCTTATTCATTTCTGGTTCTTGAGTCATTTTTTGCAGATGCAAAAACGGACACTTAATTTCCTTGTTTTGATTTTCAGATGTCTTTTCTGCCGGGATACATGTTTGTAAAATAACCTTATCCTTAAGTAATCAAGTATGGACAAAGAAAAATTAGAAAATAATCAAAATTTAACTGTTAAATTTTTTAATCTATGTTTAGCTGTTCCCAAATCACTGGATTGTAACTTCCTGTAAGAAGTGAAAACTAACTTGCCTTAGCCTAAGACAGAAGAAAAACATGAACTCATAAACTTAATTTTGTCAGTTTTTTGAACTAAACAATTCATTACATGTTAAATCTACCAAAAAATAAATTAGATGACTTTTAATGTTGCAAACTTTAAAAACATTTTACCTTACCATCCCTTAAATAATGAGCCCTAAAGTGCATTTGAGTATTTTTTTAAAGACTAATAACTAGAGAATAGGCAAACTTAAAATTATTAGCAGCCAAAATCAATTAATATCAATGAGAAAGAAAATTCAAATTGTATACTATAATGGTGGTGTACATCAATACAGATTATCTACTTGTACCCAGCTCTGATATATTGTAATGTCCACTGAGAGTGGATAAGAAAACTGTTAATAATACTTACTGAGCTCCTATGCTGAAATGAAATAACTTAAAAACCTATTGTGTATAACCCATCCTATAGGGTGTGATTCTACAATAGGCAGTTGTGTTCATTGTATGACCCCATTCTCCGAAGTCAACTACAAAGAGACCAAAGTTGGAATATACATCTTTAATCTTGGCATTAGTGACTGGCATTATGAAACTGCACATTTTGAACCACTGAAAATAATTACTCCTTCTACATGAATCTAAGTCAGTGGTCATCATTGTTATATTGCTCATAATTTCAACTGCTTAAACATATGATTCAATATTTGATGTTACGTTCTTTATCATGTAAGGAAGTTACAATAATGGAAGAAGCAAACAAAATTCAGGAATTTTTTTTTTGCCTCAATTCCAAGGATAAAGTTTAGCTATAAGTTACTATAAATTCTAACAATATTTTAAGTTTTGTAACTTATAAAATTTTATAAAAACTAAATACTAAGTTATAATCTATCAACTTCAAATGCTCATTCAAAAGATAATTTCACTTGAACTGTATCACATTATCAAAGCAAGGAAAACAATATAAAATCGGAAATTTAACGTTTTACATACCTGTGGGTGGTTATTTTCACTTCCATCAAGCCTTTCTCGCTCTTCCACTGATGTTAATTCTAAGTCTAGGTCTGCTGACAAATACATATATTTAGTTAAAATAGATTACTCAGAATGGTTAGATAAAAGCTATAACCTTCATAAAAATAGAAAATAACATTTTATCAATTGAAAGCTTAAATTAATCTTTACCTGAATATTTACTTCTTTTTTTAAAAATTTTTTTCTAATGTTTATTTATTTTTGAAGGAAAGAGAGACAGAGCATGAGCAGGGGAGGGGCAGAGAAAGAGGGAGACACAGAATCCGAAATGGGCTCCAGGCTCTGAGCTGTCAGCACAGATCCCGACGTGGGGCTTGCACTCACAAACCAAGAGATCATGACCTGAGCTGAAATCGGTCACTTAACCGACTGAGCCACCCAGGTGGCCCCTGAATATTTACTTCTTTAAGAAATACTTATAATTATCTAAAACTTCAACAAACCATTTGGGAAATACTAGATGTCACCAGCTTAAATGCATACAAACATCTCAAAGATTCATTCACAAATCCATCCACCTAACATCAATGAACAAAACAATCAGAAACAAAACAAAAATTTTAAAAAACAGTAGAAACATATAAAGTCACAACACACTTGTAACAGTACCTCTTTAATAACACACTAAGATTCAACTACAACATTATTCATGGTTTCCAAAATTACTATTACTTTTTATGCTTTTATCAGTGTATACCCTTTCTATAGGTATATGTTCCTGATAAGTAAACATTCCTGAAACGTTTTCCTCCACTATTTGACAATTTTCTTCCCATCTTTTAGGACTCAGACTGCTTGCTATGTAGAGTCATCCTTGTTAATGGCTATCTTTCCCCAGATAAATAGGTGTCTCTTTCTCTGGGGCTACCTTAGTACTTTATAGATTTTTCTAGTGTATCTTCACCACCTGAACTGTAAATTATTTGTTTACGTATCTTCTACTTTTGCTCCTGGACTGTATGGGATAATCTCTTAAATCATCTTTGTGTCAACAGCCTTTATTTATTTTATGCAGTAATTATTTACGGAGTTCCCACTAAGTACTAAGCACCTAGGTTTAGAGAAACATGTAGATAAAAGGTGTCAGGAATGGCTTTTCAAGAGAGAATGACTGAGCTAAGACTCCAACATTGAGGTTAGCAAGATTCAAAGGTGTTAGAAGGCAGAAAAAGGGGAGAGCATGCAAGGCCTTAGCAAGACAGGGAGAGAAGCACATACCAGGGTAACTATTTGTCCAAAATACAGGGATCAAAGAGGAAGACATCACCAGCAGTTCAGAATGCCAGAGAAAAAAGCAGACAGTAGAAAGGTGTAAAGATGGAGAGTTAGGCAGAAGTCTAGATTATGAGAGCCTTATATATAATTTGAAGATGCCTGGACATAAATATGTTTTCAACAGTAGCTCATGGTCCTCTTTGCATTTGAGACAAATCACTCTAAATACTGTGGGGAAGGATGAATTTGAATGGCATAGTAATAAAAGATGGGAGATGAATTAGAAGGCAGTAATATAAAATAAAGATGATGCACATCCAAATCAACAGAATGGTTCCAGAAATACTCAGGATATAAAATTATTAGGACCCAGCACAGACTAAATCTGTATTAAATGAATAAACACACAATCTTCAGTCCCTGGAGAACTCTGTTCAAAACTTTATAAAAAGGCATCAAGTAAGAAATGATCTATATGAACTGGTTTAAGCTGCTTGTATTTATTTTGTAATTTTTCTATTTCATATCCTTTTATGTGTTACAGAAGCCTGTGTAGGTGTTTTGTTTTGAAAGTCCTGCCTCTGGGATCTACCAAGCTCATGAAGAAGTAACAGCAAACAAGTCACTTGTATATTAAATAACTTTGGATTTATAGCCTATACTCACTACTCTAGGAAAGAGCTCAAAATCTTTTGAGAATACATGTTAATTTTAGAAATCAAGAAAGAAAAGAACATAAAACTACAGAGGTGAAAAAAATATTGTACAATTTATTAGTACAGACCTGATCAAATGACTGAAAAGGGGCACTGGTACATAAAGTAGAACACACATTAAATGTCATTAATCAATAGACTGAGTATCTTAGTAGAATTAAAATTGGTTTTCCAAGGGGAGCCTGGGTGGCTCAGTCGGTTGAGCGTCCGACTTCGGCTCAGGTCATGATCTCAGTCTGTGATCATGTCGAGCCCCGCCCGCATCAGGCTCTGTGCTGACAGCTCAGGGCCTGGAACCTGCTTCAGATTCTGTGTCTCCCTCTCTCTCTGCCCCTCCCCTGCTCATGCTGTCTCTCTCAAAAATAAATAAAAATATTTTAAAAAAAATTTTAAAGATACTATTTAAAAAAAATTGGTTTTCCATATATTATTTTTAAATAATACAGCACTCTTTAAAACCAATATTCCTTGTGAACTATTTATTCATTAAAAATAATAAAACAAGGCGACAGACTATGTGTATATAGCTGAGAAGATGATACTATGTGATAAATTCTCAGTGATTCAATTGAGAAAGCCAACACTAAAATAAAATCATAGAAAATATAGGAAGTATTTTAACATTTTGTTTGGGAAGGTGCTTTTTTTGTTACAGTGATTATAGTATGACCGATACTTGTGAATTTAGAGTTATAAAAATAAAGCTAAGAAACTATGTTTTGAGTAGTCAATCTTTAGATCCGTACCTAGTTTTTCCAACTAGTCCAAAAGTTCTAAATATAATCCTGCTACCCATTCTCCAGTGTACACTAAATGCTAGCCTAAAAGAAATTAATTTCTCCATGTCTCTTTGCTATCTGTATGTTGCTTTAGTCAAAGGAAGAATGCAAATGTATTGCTAAAAATACTCTGGTTGTAGGTTACCTAAAAAGAATAAACACAAATTAAATTTTGCCACAAAATTATTTTCGAAAAACCACAACTATGGTGAAGCCACAAAGAGGTTGAATTCTCTATGCTTCATTACCTTCTTTGCTCTCTCTGTTTTCTGGTAACTGTGATTCACTCAGGTCATGGAGTGTACAATTACCTAACAGCAGCACAGTTCCAATATTAATCTTTTCTTTATCTACTAAGGTTATCGGTCCAGAATCTGTGGATGCTGACTGATTTTTGATCATTGGTTGTGATACAAATGGGCATTTATCATCAACCTTCAAATTCTTGGATGTTTGACAAGTCTCATTACCGAAGGTCAAACTAGTAGACTCCCAATCGGAAAAATCTGAAAACAAAGTTTCATTTATTAGAATGCAAATAGTAATACATACTTGACTAATTTGTATCAATTCTTTCCTCAGAGAAGCAGTTCCATATCCTCCTCTCCCTCCAAACACACTACTACTCCTTCAGAGCTTATTGTATTTTACATGTCCTATATTTGACATTCACATAGATAAATTTAACTAGTCTCTCATTTTTTCTTTTTTTTTTCTTTTTTTTTTTTCAACATTTATTTGTTTTGGGGACAGAGAGAGACAGAGCATGAACGGGGGAGGGGCAGAGAGAGAGGGAGACACAGAATCGGAAACAGGCTCCAGGCTCCGAGCCATCAGCCCAGAGCCCGACGCGGGGCTCGAACTCACGGACTGCGAGATCGTGACCTGGCTGAAGTCGGACGCTCAACCGACTGCGCCACCCAGGCGCCCCTCATTTTTTCTTTTTAATTCTCTACCATTATATACTTCGATTCATTCAAGCAACTCTATTACATATTCTGTATCTCATAAAAGCTTTATTTATTAATAATTAAGACTGCTCAAGGTTATGAATATTTTAGTAACAAAATCTATGTCTAACCATTTATTTTATGTTTAAATATGCACTGTGTGTTCTAAAGACATGGGTTTTTAAAAAAAACTTTTAATGAATGGTACTACTTTAATCACAATGAAATGGTCTTTCCTCAATGTACCAATATCATCAGAATTCAATTTTTAAGCCTTGGCTAAACATAAATTTATATGGAAACAAAAGCCTTGAGTGACATAATTGTTGCCATGTAAAAACAGGATAAGTCTCAGTCTACACTAGATCCAAAAAATAGTGCCATGAGACAGAAAATGAATATGTAACAAAAATATATATTTTTTTAAAAAAAGCAAGATTGTCTGATTTAAACCTCTTAAGACAAGTGAAAGAAAGAAAATGCAGAAGTGGAACTTAAATGTCCATTTCATCACAAAGGCCCCTTTATCATTTCACATCCATGAACCCTGTATATGGTTTAAAACAGTTCTCCAGTGTCATCTGAAAATCCCTGGAGTCCCAGATCCATCCATTCAGGCAGTCCAAGAGGTCAAAACTATTTTCACAATAATACTAAATATTATTTGACATTTTCATTCTCATTTTCATATTAAGTGTACAATGGAGTCTTCTAAAGATATGATATGCAATAGTATCACAACTGTGGGTCATAGGTCTAATGGCTAACAGAATATATGACTGTGTATACCTGTATTTTAAATGTTTCTAATATTGTAAATACCAACATATGCAACCCACTTAAACAGAAGTTCTTTGGAATTCCCAATAATTTTTAAATGATATAAAAGGACTATAAAGCCAAAAAGCTTCAGAATTACTGTTTTAAAAGATTGTATCTACTAAATATAAAAAATAATTACTTCCCCCATTTTTAATAATCAAAGACATCATACATACACACATACACAAATACACACAGTCTGCTAAGCAGAACATATTTGGCTTAAACTTATTTAGATAACATGAAATCAAGTTAAAACACAATGGACATGTTAACAAGTGAAGCTTTACTCTAGGTAAAGGTCAGAATTCAAATAAGCATTTTGAACACTGGAAAAATCTAAGAGTCTAATAATTAATATTAGGAATATTTAGGATTCCAAAATAAAACAAGAAACGTGAACTAAAGCTTATATTTTTTAAATCTCTTTTTCCTATGCTTGTAAATATCTTTTCTTCAAACATGGATACCAACAATGACATCTACCTTATTTATGTCAAATCCTTCAACTAAATGTGCCACCAAAAAAAATGAGGAATAAGAGCATTTCAAATATTTTAGTGTACTTCTTTCCACTGTTAAATTTGTATTGTAAAATTTACCTGATCTGGATGTCTGTATATCCTTCATTCCTACTGTTTTATCAGAAAAAGAATCTTCCACTTCAACGGTAGGCTGAATGGGTATTAAAACAATATGATTAAGACATAATATACATCTCACACAGTCTGTAGTTAAAAATTCAGGATAAAAATATAGAAGTTTTACCTTCAAGTGAGGATATTTGTCAGGAGGATCTAAAAAGCAAAAGGGACAAATAGTCAATTATATGTAAATATGAAAGCCAACTTTACATTCATGCAGTTAGTACTGAGCTGAATCCTCATGCTTCGCTTTGAAAATGATTACATTAGGTTTTGGTGTTTTATTTTTGGGGGGACAGGCAGGTGGGTTAAGACAGTGACAAGACAGAAAAATGAACGCATTATACATACTGAAGAAAAAATAGGAATATAGGCTCCACAGAACATGCAGTTAGGATGTCAAAAGTTAAGATTATGTTTCAAATGACTAACTAAAATAGAAAAGTGCACATGTACCAATGTGAACATGCTGATTGATGTAAAGAAAAGCAATCTTGAATTACAGGAACAATTCATGACCCAGAGAGGATAAATGTGAAAGCTGATGGCAGAATGCAACAGCATACCCTTAATGTGCAGTACAGCAAAATCATTTATACCATTATACTACAAGTATTTACCATGTTCTTCAATTTGTCCTGTAATTTAGTCAGTACACGGTTGTGATGACGGTTCAGTTGAATGCATAATTTCTTTCTCATCAGAGCAAGTGTACTGAATTGATCAGCTTGGATATATACTTGTAGAATAACAGTTAATAAAAGTATTCATTTTTGTTCATACCCATGTGGGTTACTGGTATGCCTACATTTCTTGTATCCTCTAGTTTAGCCATCTTAAAGTTTCTTGATCCACTCATGCAAGAAGGTATATAAAACACATCTAAGAAATAATGTATAATAAGCTTTTAATATGGAAATATGATTACCAAAAGGGAAAAATAAAATTAATTGCCACAAAATTTTTAGATACCAAAAATCTTTTCTATTTCAAAATCAGCATCATATTTATGGAAAATAACCATTTTAGCATTTAGGGAATTAACCCTATCACTTCTTTTGTTTCCAAAATTAGTTTGATTTGGTAGATCATGTAAGCCTTTAAAAAAGGCTTTTACAAAATAGCTATCATATCATGGGGTACCTAGGTGACTCAGTCAGTGGAGCATCCAACTTCAACTCAGGTTATGATCTCATAGTTTGTGGGTTCAAGCCCTGCACTGGGCTCTGTGCTGACAGCTCAGAGCCTGGAGCCTGCTTCAGATTCTGTGTCTCCCTCCCTCTCTCTGCCCCTCCCCTGCTTGCCCTCTGTCTCACACTCAAATAAACATTAAAAAATTTTTAAAAATAGCTATAATAAATTAGCTGTCTTAAAAAAATAACAGCCAATGCTTCCATATTCAAATTAATCTCATTTGAATAATGAATACCAATGCCACATGTATCTTTGATGTCTAAGAGATCTGAGGAGGATGAATGAGTGGCTAGGTTTTACCCCAATTCTAGCACTCCACTTGCTTTTAGTATTCTTTGGAGTAGCTGTGATCTAATCTTCTGATTTAGTGCACATGTACTCCAGCCATCTAACGTGAATTCTCTCGAGTTTCCTCCTCAACTCCAAAGTTTCCTAGCTAACACACCATGCATTCCTCTCTCTTTCCCTTCACTAGTCCTCCTTCTCAACAGTAATTTCTGGATCTATGGTCTTGAATGTTCCACTTTTATATTCTTGTTATGGATTATCTCTACCACATTTTTCCCCTTTGTTTAGCATGAGTATCTTCCATCTATACCCTCCATACCCACTATCAACTCCCCCAAAATGTTTATTCATTTTTGAAAGACAGAGAGAGACAAAGCACAAGCAGGGGTGGGGCGGAGAGAGGGGGTGGGGACACAGAATCCGAAGCAGGCTCCAGGCTCCAAGCTGTCAGCACAGAGCCTGATGCAGGGCCCAAACTCACGAACCGCGAGATCATGACCTGAGTGAGCCCAGAGGCCGACGCTCAACCGACCAAGCCACTCAGGTACCTCCAAAAAATTTTGTTTTTAATGTATATCTTTGACACAGATAGAGACAGAGTATGAGCGGGGGAGAGGCAGAGAGAGACAAACACACAGACTCTGAAGCAGGCTTCAGGCTCTGAGCTGTCAGCAGAGAGCCTGACATGGGGCTTGAATCCATGAACTGAGATCATGACCTGAGCTGAAGTCGGACACTCAGCCAACTGAGCCACCCAGGCGCCCTAAAAGTCATAAACTTTCTTTTTTTTTTTAATTTTTTTTTTCCAATGTTTATTTTTGGGACAGAGAGAGACAGAGCATGAACGGGTGAGGGGCAGAGAGAGAGGGAGACACAGAATCGGAAACAGGCTCCAGGCTCTGAGCCATCAGCCCAGAGCCCGACGTGGGGCTCGAACTCACGGACCGTGAGATCGTGACCTGGCTGAAGTCGGACGCTTAACCGACTGCGCCACCCAGGCGCCCCAAAGTCATAAACTTTCTAATGGAACTTTTTATCAGAGCTATAGCTTCCTTGATGTCTTCCTAACTGACCCTCTTTCCAATTCTCTTATTTTGCACTAAATGATAACTCTCTTATGAAGTACCTCCAATTTGATATGGCATTAAAGTATGTACATTTATCACTGACTATAAATGCGTAAGTTCATCCATGGCAGATAGGACATAACTCTGCATCATCAGCTGTCAGTCCTTAATGTCTTCCCAACAAAGAGGATAACAGTAAGAGTGGGAAAATTTTGGTATGCTACTCTGACAAATTCTAGTACTGGAAGCTCACCTTACAGTATTCCTACATTTCAAATAGCCTGCTATTCCTTTTAAAGAACTAGTGTATTTTACCACCTTCCAGTAGAAACACTATAAACACCTGCTTACTTTCCTTTATTTATTCCCTGTAGTCTCCACTGTTCTCATCATTCCCTCTTTGGCTCTTTTCTTATTTCCTGAGGTTCCTTAGGTCTTACAGTATCTTGAAAGGGAACTAGTCATTTAGCTCCTTTGGTGGCACTCTCAATTTAATCTGTTGCTGACACCACATAAGATACAACTTATCTCCTTTTCACATCTCTTTCTCTTTACTATGCATTTAATAGGTGATTTTCTTTAGATATTAGAATATATCAGTATTCCTGTTTTAAATCAACATTCTGTCCAATGACCTCTTAGTAAAATACAGTTCTTACCTTCTACTTGTCCATTTAATATACTTTGCCCTTTCTGATCCACAGCTCCAGATAAATGAGGAACATATTTGTTTGGACTCTCAGACATACTCTGTTAAAATTAGCATCAATAATGAGTTGTGTAAAGATTTCCTAATCCTTTTCTAAGAAAATATCTGAATTTCCGATTTTAATAACAATCAGACTTACAAATAAGAAAAACATATTGAAAACCAAAACATTTAAATAGAAAACCTCATATATGCTCTCTTGATTAAGTGTACCTTTTAATCTTCATTTGGCTATTGACTCTGTACACTGAACGTGGAAGGCCAGAATACTTTCATAGACAGAAGACTGACTTATATGCACATTTCAAAAAGGAACTAACAAAACACCTTACTTTGCATTCCCGATCAAAATAAAAGGACATTTAAAATAAGTATTTAAATAAATTCTTTAGGAGCGCCTGGGTGGCTCAGTCGGTTAAGCGTCTGACTTCAGCTCAGGTCATGATCTCACAATGCGTGGGCTCGAGCCCCATGTCAGGCTCTGTGCTGACAGCTCAGAGCCTGGAGCCTGCTTTGGATTCTGTGTCTCCCTCTCTCTCTGCCCTTCCTCCACTCACATGCTCTGTCTTTCAAAAATAAATAAACATTAAAAAAATTTTTTTAAACAAATTCTTTAAAAGTATACTTGCTATAAATTTAAACTGCTTCTAATAGAATGGCAGACATTTGTTTTAGTGTTAATTGATATCTCATATGATAAGAAACTTTGGAGTATATCATGTTGAGTATAAACAAAACACTGTTGTAGCTGCTGCTTCATTTAGGTAAACAAAGGCTTGAAATTTTTATTGATGAAAGAAGGGTTGGATCGAATGGCAAAGTAATAAGAAAAACTTTTCTTCAAATTATGGTTAACTAATAGTAAAAAAATTTTAGATATGGGTATGAAACTCTTCAAAAAGTGTTGTATGCTTTTAAAAGGCAAGTATAAGAACATTTATTTACTAATCACCTAAAATGTGCCAAGCACTTATCTCAGTATGCACATTTTCTTTTCTACACACAACAATGATTATGATGATGGAGTGGGTCTTCCTACTTCTTGGTCACTCTAAGACATTAGAGTAAAATGATGATCCGTGGTTCTCTCTGTCCAGAATGTCCCTCGCCAAGATCTTCACATGACTGGTCCTTCTCATCTTTCACTTGGCAGCTTTTGCCACACTCAGATCTTTTCTGACTACCAAAATTCCTATTCCCACTCTCATCCTCATCCTCACTACAAACTCCCCCAATATTCTCTAACCTAACATTCTCCATTTTCTTTCTAGGAAGCATTTATACTGACTTATAACGGATTGCTGTTTACTTTTCTGCTCCGACCACTACAACCTAACCCCTCAACTTGTACACTCAGTATCTAACTGCTCGGTACGCAGTCAGTATATAAGGACAAATTTAATAAGGTCAAAAAATTTGCAATAATCTCATTGAGAAGATCTCAAAAGTACCAAATCACTATACTGTTGACCCTTGAACAAACCAAGAGTTAAGGGCTCTGATGGCCATGCACTCGAAAATCCACAAATATCAAAAACGTAGCTACTAATCTACTGAATTTCCTACTTTAAAAGCAATTAGACGAGGCACCTGGGTGGCTCAGTCGGTTGAGTGTCCAACTTCGGCTCAGATCATGATCTCACGGTTCATGAGTTCAAGCCTCGTGTCGGGCTCTGTGCTGACAGCTCAGAGCCTGGATCCTGCTTCCAATTCTGTGTCTCCCTCTCTCTCTGCCCCTCCCCCACTCACAATGTGTCTCTCTCTGTCACTCAAAAATGAATAAACGTTAAAAACTTTTTAAAAATAAATAAAAGCAAAAGCAATTAGACTTAAAAATCGAAAAGTATATATTAAAAACCAGAATATTAAAGCAGAAGCCCTCTAATCTACCTGTTAATCCTCATTCAGCCATTAACTCTGTAAATTGAGCATGGAAGGTCAGAGTTACTATAACGAAATGCTGACCTTACCAGTAATATAAACAGTCGATTAACACATGTTTTCTATGTTATATGTATTAAATACTGTATTCTTACACTATAAACTAAAGAAAAGGTTATTAAGAAAATCGTAAGGAAGCGGTGCTGGCTGGTGCTGTCGGTTAAGGGTCAGGCTCTTAACTTTGGCTCAGGTCATGATCTTACAGGTCGTGGGTTCAAGCCCAATGTAAGGCTCTGTGCTGGCAGTGTGGAGCCTGCTTAAGATTCTCTATCCCTCTTCCTCTACTCGCATGCTCTGTCCTCTCTCTGTCTCTCAAAATGAATAATAAAAAAAGAAAAAGAAAGTCATAAGGAAGAGAAAATACATTTACAGGATGGTACTGTATTTATAGAAAAAAAATCTGTATGTAAGTGGACTCCCACAGTTCAAGCCCATCTTGTTCAAGGGTCAACTGTATACACATATGATGTCACTACTAATAGATTACTGAAACTTAATATAGCCCAAATTAGAAAATCAAAAACCCATTCTAACTTTCCCATTCTCTTCTGGACACTACTGCCATTTTATTGGCCTTCAGACATCTTCACGTAAAAAAAGTATTCTTGGAGAGCCTGGGTGGCTTTGTCAATTAGGCGCCCAACTTTGGCTCAGGTCATGATCTCACAGTTCATGAGTTCAAGTCTTGCACTGGGCTCCCTGTTCTCAGTGCAGAGCCTGCATCGGATCTTCTTTCCCCTCACCCCCCCTCTCAAAAATAAACAAAGATTCAAAAAAAAAAAAAAGTATCCTCAATATTTAGTAAGTCACTAAATACCACTGTGATCATTTTGTCTTCTATTTCTATAGCCCCCTTTACAGTTTTCAAGGCGTTACCACATCTGTTCATTACACAAAACCAAGAGGCGAGTATTAGTACCATCTTTAGGAACGAGGTCATTGACATTCAAACAAGTTAAACAAGTTTTTCCAAGATCCCACAGCTAGGAAGTGATGGAACCAAGATGACAGCATGTCTTTTGACTTCAAATACAGTGCTTGCAGCATTATGCAGCAGCTGCCTGTGTCTAAGAGATCAGACCCTTTTTACCTCTATCCTTAGTTATCACCTTAGAATAGGTCATCATTACTTTACTTATATTACTTTACGTGTGCCACGATGTTATTTTAACTATCCAAAAAGGGTTTATTAAAGCACCACCAAACCAAACTGTGGTTATCATAATCCCAACGCTCCTTGTAGATCTACTTGGCAATCAAATACAATATTTTCAAGTCCCAGGCATTATCTTTTGAAGGTTCAAGTTGTAAAACACCATAATCCAAACTCTTTCTGGATGTCATTAGGAGTTTGACACATCCATATACACCACAGAATCATACAGTTGGCCATAGGTTGAGTATTTCTTTAGTAATTCTTTAGATAACTTCAAAACCCAAACTAATTCCCTCTAAGCCTTAGTTTTCTGTACTAATACTAAGCAACTTTCATTAAGTTTGCAAGAGAACTGTATTATACTGTATTGTCATAATTAACACAATTATTTTATCAATTATAGGTAAAAATATAAGGAAATGGTTTCTATGGGCAAATGCAGAGATGAGAGAATAAAGTCAAAGCATCGCTTTGATGTTTTAACATCACTCAATGCTTATATTTAAAAATAATAAGAAGACAGTACCTCAGGATCAGAAGGTGATTCTACATCTTCCTCTTCTCCTAATCCTAATGCTGACATCATATCTATAAAATACAGACAAATTAATGAAAACATGTGTTACTATGAATTTTAAACACATAGTCTATCTCCATTCATAAATATTTCAATAAAATAAAAGCAATAGCAGAAAGCATGTTCAGGGAGTTGAAGATTTTCAGGAAGAAAAAGGTGGTAGTACTTGGGATACTTATAAAGAAAGCAACAGACACATAAAGATAGCAACAGAAAAATATCTTAACGAGAAATGAATAATATATTTGGATCTACATACTTTCAGATTTTTTTCATACTAGCATTTAACCATAGAAAAACAACTCACAGAGATTCACTAGCTTACCACTTCTGTAATTTTTATGCACTCCACCAGAAGTCAAACTGTCATTAACTGTTTGCTCTGGTGGCACATTTTCAGTAATACCAATACCATCTTCCTGTGCTTCCACTGCTGACTTTGCTGTTCCTTCCTATAAAAACAACACAAAACAAAAACCCAGCTTCAGAAAAACATCACATTAATTCATTTGGTCACGCACTCACCCACTCAGAAAGACAAACACATACTGTATCTGTCAAGTCATAGGCACTATCCGGGGAGGAGCTGGAAATATAAATAAAAGACAGAGTCTGTTCTATAGGCTAGTAGTGGTAGAGATGCATGAAAACAGGTAAGGACAGAAAAATATCCACTAGTTCTACGAGTGAAGTGAATAACGCACAGTGAACACACAAAGGAGAAAACACATTTGGGAAGCTCAGCAAACTCTGGGAAGATAAGGCTGTATCTTAAAAGACAGACAAGTGAACAGGGAGGGTGTGAAGGGCATTCTAGAATGAGCAAAAGGATCAAGTATGAAATAATATAGTAAGTGACAACACCTATGGAATATGGCAAAACTGGAACAGAGTTATTGGGAAGGGGATAGATAGATATTACTGGAACATCAGGACGAAACCAAAAAATAAAAAGAGCAAGTGTTATGCTAGAACATGAGTTTCCTCCTACAGGTAATGGGGATCCATTAAATAAGCAGAGGAATTACATCGTCACAAATATATTTTAGAAAAGTCACTCTGACAGCAATGTAGGATGAACATAAAGGAAGCAAAACCAGAAGACTATTGCAAAATTATAGGTGAGAGAGTGAATTATAGGAATAACATGAAAAATGGTAAGCAGGTACAAAATATCGAATGTGATGAGTGACTGGATGCGGTCGTTTCAGGGAAGTTTGGAGTCCAGGACTTTTCCTGTTTCAGGGCTGCTATTTATTAGGCTAGGGAAAACAAATAACAGAGCAGATTACAAAGAGTCAGGAAAGAGGAAAGGGGAAGGGTCAGAAACAATGTCTTTAAACTAGGACATATTAAATTTGAAGTACCCAGGGGACTTCCGAAGAAAATTTTAGGGCCGCTTGAATGCCTCAGTCAGTTAACACCTGACTCTTGATTTTAGCTCAGGTCATGATCTCGCAGTTCATGGGTTCAAACCCCCCATCTGGTTCTGCACTGACAGTGCAGGGCCTTCTTGGGATTATCACTCTCTCCCTGTCTCTCTGCTACTCCCCACTTGTGCTCTCTCTCTCTCTCTCCAAATAATAAATGAATAAACTTAAAAAAAAAAAAAGACAAAATTCAGATCAATAAATTTCGAGGAAGAAAAGCCCATAATAAATATCTATAAAATATATTAAACTGATATAATAATGCAAACCTACACAGAACTCTGAAATTGTGAAAAGGAAAATAAAAGGAGGAGGGAGGAGTTAAGATGGCAGAGGAAGGGGATCAGAATTTCCCTTGTCCCTCAAACACAGCAGTATTGAGGTCAGAGCACTTGGAATACCAGGAATACAGGCTGCACAGTGACAGAAAAATCTCCACAGGTGCAAAGAGACAGCTTGGTGGGACAGAAGTGTGTGTATGCGAATTAGGAGAAATAAAATGGGCAACACAGGCATGGAGTGGGGGAAGCCCTTCGGTGGAAAAACGAACGGAAGAGAAGGAGAGGCTGTGGGAAGTGTGGGATTGTATTTGGATAAGAGAAAACCTCTCCGGACCCCGGACCAAGGAGAGGTCCAGAGAGTCAATCTCTACTTTGCAAAACTGCCTTAGAAGCTAAAAATCAGAATTTTCAAGGTTGCCAGACTTTCTCTAGACCAGAGCTGCCACCTCCCACGCCTGGTGGGGACGGAGCCACCCCTAGGCTTGGTAGCAATCTCAGGGCTACACTGGTAGAGAACAGTCCCCTCCCTTGAGTACAGTGGAAAGAGGGTATATTACCCCCCAACCAAGGGAAAAAGACCCTGCAGGCACAAGCCAGAGGACCTTTGTCCCCTGGACAGACTGGCGTTACCCCAGAACCAGGTCTGGGGGAACAGGGATCCTCTAAGGTTTTGAATCCCAGCGGAGTGCTCAGGAAGCATAGGAGACTGTGGAGCAAGGCGAGCCGGCCCCACCCCCCCCCAGGCTATTCTGTGAGGACAGCCTAAAGAGTGAGGTTTGAGGCACCTCGTGTGGGGAGGAGAGATTAGAGTGTCGCCATTTTTCTCCCCACCAACATGGTGGGGTTTCAGGGAACGGACACAAGCCCCAATGGAGGCAGACCTATTACACCAAACCCCGCCCCTCTGGGCCTGGTAACTGCTTCTCTAAGGTAGTGAGACTGACACTGAAGGAACCAGACAGCCCCTCCTCCAGACCAGTACAGCCTCCAGTCCCGGGCACTAGTAGACAACTGTCCTGTGGTTGTGTATGTTAGTTTGGTTTTTTTTTACTTTAATTACTTTTTTTTCTTTTCTTTCTTTTTATTTAATATTTATTTCCTTATTTTGAGAGGAGAGTGAGTGAACAAGCAGGAGAGGTGCCGAGAAAGGGAGAGAGAGAATTCCAAGCAGGATCCATGCTGTCAGTGCAGAGCCTGATGCGAGGCTCGAACCCCCGAACAGTGAGATCATGACCTGAGCCAAAATCAAGAGTCGGACATGTAACCACATGAGCCACCCAAGCAACCCTCTTTTCTTTCGGTTTCTTTCCTTCTCTTTTCCCTTTTCTTTCTCCTCTACTCTTTCCTCTCCTCCCTTTGGAATCAGCCTCATAGTCTCTGATTTGACTTTACGTCAAATCTTACTATATATATTTTTTCTTTTTTCCTCTGTTTTGGTTATTTGTTTGTTTAAAAGCAGGCATTTTACTCTATTCCTTTCACACCTTTTCTGTATCTCCTTCTTTATTTTCTTCTCTCTCTTTCTGGATTAAGCCCTATAGTTTCTTTGATTCTCTGCCTGGTCTTTTTTGCCACCCCTGTCATACCTCTCTTTGTTTGGGATAAGGTTTCTTCAACACCCCCTTCTCCTTTTTTCCAGGGTTACTTCAACAAACAAATCAAAACACACCTGGTGGAAGGTCCAAACCACTACTCCAAGTAGGGAGAAAAGCAGGCAAAGACACAACAAAAGAGTGCACACAACACACTCCAAAAACACTTCTTCAAGTGCCAGGCCCTGGACAGTGCATGACCATTTTTTAATATAGTAGTACTTGCAGGTGCAGGACACATAACAAGTTATTAAAACACATAAAGGACAGGAAACTAGCCAAAATGACAAAACAGAAGAATTCTCCTCAAAAAAAATTCCAGGAAGAAAGGAGAGCCAGAGAATAGCTCAAAAGAAATATAAACAATATATCTGATCAAGTATTTGGAATAACAGCCATAAGACTAATAGCTGCGCTTGAAAAAAAGCACAGAAGACAGCAGAGAATCTACTGCTTCAGAGATCAAGGACCTAAAGAATAGTCACGATGAATTAAGAAAGCTGTAAACAAGGGGCACATGGGTGGCTCAGTCGGTTGAGCATCCGACTTTGGCTCAGGTCATGATCTCACTGTTGGTGAGTTCAAGCCCCGCATCGGGCTCTGTGCTGACAGCTCAGAGCCTGGAGCCTGCTTCGGATTCTGTGTCTCCCTCTCTCTGCTCCTCCCCTGCTCATGTTCTATCTCTCTCTCTCCTTCAAAAATAAATAAAAACATTTAAAAAAATTAACAAAATAAAAATTAAAAAAAGAAATGCTGTAAACAAGATACAAAATAAACTAGATGCAGTGACAGCAAGGATGGGAGAAGCAGAAGAGAGAATAGGTGAAATAGAAGATACAATTATGGACAAAGATGAAGCAGAGAAGGGAAAGAAAGGAAATTACTAGACCATGAGGCAGGTATTAGAGACCTAAGTGATTCAGTGAGATGAAATAATATCCACATCATAGGAGTCCCAGAAAAAGAAGAGTGAGAGAAAGGGGCAGAAGGTTTATTTGAACAAGTTATAGCTGAGAACTTCCCCCATCTGGGGAAGGAAACAGGCATCCAAGTCCTGGTGGCACAGAGAATTCCCTTCAAAATCAACAAAACTAGGTCAACACCATGACATGTCATAGCGAAACTGGAAAAATGCAAAGATAAAGAGAAAATTCTGAAAGCAGCTAGGGACCAACGGATCTTAATCTACAAGGGAAGACACAGAAGGGTAGCAGCAGACCTGTCCAGTGAAACTTGGCAGGGCAGAAGGGAGGGGTAGGAAACAGTCAATATGCTGAATGGGAACATATGCAGCTAAGAATCCTTTCCCCAGCAAGGCTGTCATTTAGAATAGAAAGAGAGAGAAAGGCTTTCCCAGACAGACAAAACCTAATGGGGCTCATGACCACTAAACCAGCCCTGCAGGAGATCCTAAGGGGGACTCTGTGAGTGGAAAGCAGCACAGACTACAAAGGACCAGAGTCCTCACCACAAGCATGAAACCTACAGATAACACAATGACACTAAATCCATATCTTCCATATCTTAAAATAATCACTCTAAATATAAATGGACTAAATGCCCCAATCAAAAGACACAGGGTACCAGAAAGGATAAAAAAAAACCCAAGATCCATCTATATACAGTCTACAAGAGACAGATTTTAGACCTGAGGACACCTGCAGATTGAAAGTGAAGCTTTGGGGGGCAGCTGGGTGGCACAGTCGGTTAAGCATTTGACTTCGGCCCAGGTCATGATCTCACAGTTCATGAGTTCGAGCCCCGCATCAGGCTCTGTGCTGACAGCTTGGAGACTGGAGCCTGGAGCCTGCTTTGGATTCTGTGTCTCCCTCTCTCTCTCTCTCTGTCCCTCCCCAGCTCATGCTTGCACTCTGTCTCTGTCAAAAATAAATAAACTTAAAAAAAAAATTTTTTTTTGTTTAAAGAAAAGAGAGTGAAGCTTTGGAGAACCACCTATCATGCTACTAGAAGTCAAAAGAAAGATGGAGTAGCCATACTTACATCAGACAAACTTGATTTTAAAGCAAAAACTGTATGAACAGATTCAGAAGGGCATTATATCTATTGTTGGAGATATTCGAATAAGTAAAAATCATCTTCTCGAAAGAATTTTGTATACTCTCGTGGCAACCTTTCCTGCCTTATGATTCTATCATGACAAAGAGTTCACATTAGACAAAAATTTATACATTTTGAGTTCATTCATTTGGTATGTGTGCATGTGTCTATTCTATGCAGATACTATTAAAAAAAGAGTGGCACCTGGGTGGCTCAGCTGGTTAAGCATCCAACTTGATTTTGGCTCAGGTTATTCAAGCTCCGTGTCAGGCTCGACACTGGCAGCACAGAGCCTGCTTAGGATTCTCTGTCTGTCTCTCTCTCTCTGCCTCTCTCTCTCTCTCAAATAAACATTTGAAAATTTAAAATTAAAAAAGGTAAATCAGAATGCAGAAAACATGTTTTATATTTTTTTCTTTAAGAGTTTGCAGCTTAAGTGGCACCTGGGTAGCTCAGGCAGTTCAGCATCTTGATTTGGGCTCAGGTCGACATCTCGCAGTTTGTGAGTCTGAGTTATGTGTCGAGCTCTGTGCTGACAATGAAGAGCCTGTTTGGGATTCTGTCTCTCCCCTCTCTCTCTGCCCCTACCCTGCTTGCTGTCTCTCTCAAAATAAATAAATAAGCTAAAAAACAAATTCAGTGTTGCAGCTTCAAATTTAGTTTTTCGTTTCATGGATAAAGAACCTTATTTACATAACCAGAAATTTTATTTAATGAAAAGAATAAACGTTTATTTCCTCTCTTTCTACTCAAAAAGACCTAAAATATACCAAGATTATAGCACACAGTAAGTTAAGTTAGAACCCCCAAGAAAGACAATAGCCAAAAACTGAAAATTCGCAATAAATCTGGTATGGCCTAAAACAGATTTCACTTTGCATTCCTTAGAAACACAGGTTTTGCTAAACTAAATATAGGATATCACCTTTATTAAACTTAAATGTAAGGGCAAAAATTTCTTCCAGTTCTTCACAAGAATCAGCTACAAGCCATTCAGAAGAGTCTAAGCATTTTTTTTTTTACTACCTGGCTTTTTTTTTTTTTCTTAATTTGCACTTAAAATAATTTCTCCCATGCTTTATAATTTAAAGAGTATCTGCTCCCTCTTAATCCCACCATTGCTGGTGTGTTTTTATAATACTTTCTGTCAACTCTTCATACTTTAAATTCATCTCACCCCTCTGAAATGAATTCTTCCCCTTCATCTCCCTCCTCATCTTCATATGCATCTAGCTGTTCTTTCCAGCTGCCTTCTACTTCTTTGCTTCCATAAAGGCATACCTGAGAATTGTTTACTCCCACCAACCTTTATAAATATCAATCCTGTACCTTCCTCTCTGTTGTCATTACACTGTTTTCTATTATGATCTTGAGGACTTCCATTTCTTCCTAAGATTCTTTTCATCATTACAAGGAGCAAGAGGATGGTATGGGGGGGGGGGGGGGGAGAGGAATAAAACAAAACAACTCACCTTTGGAAGACCAAGGACAGCTAACGTCTTGAGAGAAGGTTTTAGAAGAGATTTAGCTGATGGAAAAATAGGAAGAGAATCGCCATAATCTCTGGTTGGTGGTTTGGAAAGAGTTTCACCCACATCTTCATTTTCAGAATCAGGATTATTGTCCTCAGATAACGTTCCACCTTCTGCTTTCACAGAGCCACGTTTTGCTCTCACTTAGTAGAAAACAAAAGAGGACATGAAAATATCTGTAACTTCAAATTAGTGAATAACACAAGAATGGACAAGAATTAGTGAATAATACAAGTCTTCCAATAGCTTACTGTTTTTCATGAATTGCCCAGAAGAATGCAGTAGCTTTGCTACACTTGGTTTCGGGACATTCTAGAAAAGAATTAATAGCTTTAAGGATTACAAGAATCCAATTCGATAAAATGGTAATATTCACCATTACCAAATGAGCACCATTACACAAGGAACACAGGCTTTGGAATCATTCAAATGTATATTCAATCTCAGTTATGCCATTTACTACAACCAGTCGACATTTTCTCATGTGATAAGGATTACGAGACATCTCATAGGTAGTCTCAAAATGTTACTTTCCTTACTTCTAACTGATTATTACACAAATACTTTCAAAGTAACCTAAAACAAAAACTTATCCCTAGGTAATTAAAAGTATATTAAAAAACTAGCACTAAGAAATTTAAATGTGTTATATTTTGAAATATTTGCATGATTTATATTTCCATGAATTATCTCTTATAAAATATAAAAATTTACTTTTTAGCAGTATCTTATGTAGGTAAGTTGGAATTGCAAACAGTTTAAGTTGCTTCTGTTTGTCAAAACCCTAAAGATAAAAATGACTGTTTAAATTTAGCTCCTTCTGGGGCACCTGGGTGGCTCAGTAAGTTAAGTGACCAACTTTTGATTTCAGCTCAGGTCATGATCTCAACAGTTAGTGGGCTTCAAGCCACATGTCAGGCTCTGTGCTGACAGCGTGGAACCTGCTTGGGATTCTCTCCCTCCCTCTCTTTCTGCACCTCCCTACTAGCATGTGCTCATTCTCTCTCTCTTTCCAAAAACAAAAACAATACCCCAAAATTTAGTTCAGCTCCTCCCAATAAAGAGAAAAAAAGAATAATAAACCTTGTGGGGCAATGAGTCATGGATGAAAACCACACACAGACAATAGATGCCATAACCAAATATGTTGACAATGGAGACAGAAAGAGATGTACTAAAAGAACAGACACTAAAGAAATGTTTTCTGCAAAGAAATTTAGGGTAGGGGTAAACTATTAAAAGAAAGCATGGTGGGGGCGGGGGAGACACCTAGGTGGCTCAGTCAGTTAAGCATCCAGCTTCAGCTCAGGTCATGATCTTACGGTTTGTGTGTTTGAGCCCCACAATGAGCTCTGTGTTGACAGCTCCGAGCCTGGAGCCTGCTTTGGATTCTGTGTCTCCCTCTGTCTCTGCCCCTACCCTGCTTGCACTCTGTCTCTCTCTCTCTCTCTCCAAAATAAACAAACTTTAAAGAAATAAAAAATACGTTAAAAAGCATGGGGGAAAGAGGAAATAAGGAAAAAAAATAAAATATGAGCAATCAATCAAGAATGAGATTAACACAAGGAAAAAAAGGAAAAAAAAAAGGTAAGTGGAAAACACATATATTTTTCAACAGGGATATAAATACGATTACGAATATACTATGAACAATAGTCTCTTTTAAACTTTTTAAGTTATATATATATAACATATATGTAAAACAGAGGCTTTTATTCATAGTATATCCCTAATAATACTGACTTTTATCACTCTACAGTTATCTGGTTATAAATACTGTAATAAAGAATTTAATTTTTCACTATAAAATAAATTGTTCAATTAGTGGTCATCTATCACTTCCTAAAAGCTATAAATTATTACTAGACAAACAAAAAACAGAAAAAGAAAGGTGCCCAACACATCAATGTTCAATATGGAGAAAGAATTGGGAATGAGAATTCTAGGAAGAAATGTATACCTTCAAAGGATGTATCTAATGAGATAAAGATGGGATTTAAAACAAAAAAGCTGAGGAATTTTTATCTGAAATTCTAAGCTCACAATTGGAAGATACTAAAAAATATACTGTAACCTTCTTTCTTATGTAACTCCTGATTTCCTCAATATAATTCATTTGAGTTTATAAATATTAAACACTAAAATGGAATATAAATTGAAGCCTTATTTATTAAATTCACATTTAATTATTATATATTATGCATATTATGTTACTCTTCAAATTCCATTATACGGAATTCCATTTCCCTGTTCATTTATTCAACATCCAAAAATATTAAATTGCTTCTTCCAAGCAAGACTTTATTCTAGGAGCTCCAGGAGATACACAATTATGTTTCCTAACCTCCAGCAGCTTATAATGATTTAGGGGCCTCAAAATGAACATTTAAATAAATATCAAATGTCTGAAACTTTAAATTTTAGAATCTGACACAAGGACTAGGACTAGATATTTTTAAAAGCTGGAATATGAAAGATTTCTGAAATTAGAAATTTTACAACTTGGCTATGAAGAGCCTCTGCTCACAGAGCTACTATTTTAAGCAAAACATGTATTCTTCAGGTAGATGCAGAATTTTAACTTACTCTTCATGGAGTTATTTCAAAAATACAGGGAAACACCTTTGTAAGATAAATGTTGAGAAATAACTTAAACATCTAAATTTCTACATTTTCTAATGTTATTTTAGTCTAAATGTAGAGCAGAAGATAGAGACAAAGGAAAATCCTGTATCTCACCAAGAAAAAAGTGCCCAGAGGGAGGTGTGGGGGGTAGGAAACCCACAATAGATAATTGGATCCAATAAGATTTCATTTAGGCATGAGTATTATCAGTCAGGTTAGTATCACAGTAAGAATCCTTATCCTTAACCAAATGTCATATTTTCTCCATTATGGGAAAGCTTTTCCCAATACAATTTTACGGTCATTATATATTTTCCAGCCCATTCTTTTATCAGCCTCCACCTCTACTATTTACCAAAGTAAAACAAAACAAAAAATTCAATGTGTCATGTATCTGTAAAGTGGTTTGTTCTTGCTAACTTTCCATTACAAACATAAAATGATGACAAAAAGGCTACTGTTAAATTTTAAGAGTAAATAATAGAGAAAACTAAATTCAGAGCAGGGAAGTGAGTTTCACAAGAGAGTACTTTACCTTGGTACCAAAATCTAAGTCTTCGCTATCTGATGTAGGCCATGAATCATCAATACCAGGTTTGTCGGAAAGGCTTTAGAACAAAAATATACAACAAAAACATGTTCATTTATTTTTAAAAACTGAAGTGAAAGGTCAGCTGTTTATTAAACGATGTTTCTTAATTAAAATCTGGCGTGTTTTTTCATTAAGTTTTATTTTAATTCCAGTAATATTACCATTCAGTGTTATATTAGTTTAAGTTGTACAATATAGTGATTCACCAATTCCATACTCACCCCGTGCTCATCATGACAAGGGCACTCCTTCATCCCCATCACCTATTTCACCCCTCCCACCACTCACCTCCTCTCTGGTAACCATCTGTTTGTTCTCTGCAGTTAAGAGCCTGTTTCTTGGTTTGTCTCTCCCTTTTTTTTCTCCCTTTGCTCATTTGTTGTTTTATAAATTCTACATGAGTAAAGTCATATGGTATTTGTCTTTCTCTGATTTTGCTTAGCATACTACTCTCGGGCTCCATCCTGGTCATTGCAAATGGCAAGATTTCATTGTTTTGTGGTTGAGTAATATTCCATTGTGTGTGTGTGTGTGTGTATGTATATCTATCTATCTATATATACATATCTATATATATGTATATACAGATATACATATATATGTATATGTGGTAACGTATAGATATATAAGATCTATATATATAGATATAAGATATAAGATCTATATAAGATCTATATATATAGATATATAAGATCTATAAGGTATAGATATATACCTTATATATATATGTAAGGTATATATATATGGTATAATATATATTATATATATAAGATATATATCTTATATATATATATACACCTTATATATAACCTATATACATATAGGTATACATATATATGTATATATCTATACATAGATACGTATAGATACATATAGATATACATACACCAACACACATGCACACACACACACACACACACAACTTCTTTATTCACTAATCTGTCAATGGACACTTGCGCTGGCTATTGTAAATAATGCTGCAATAAATACAGGGGCACGAGTGTCCCACTGAATTCGTGTTTTTGTATTCTTTTGGTTAGTATCCAGTAGTGCAATTACTGGATCATAGGATAGTTCTGTTTTTAATTTTTGGAGGAACCTCCATAGTGTTTTCCACAGGGGCCACAGCCATTTGCATTTCCACCAACAGTGCAAGAGGTTTCCTTTGACTCCACATCCTCGCAAACACTTGCTTCTTGTGTTTCGGAGTTTAGCCACTGGGACAGGTGTGAGGTGGTAACTCCTTGTAGTTTTGAGGAGCATCTCTTCATGTGTCTGTTGACCATCTGTGTGTTGTCTTTGGAAAAATGTCTCTTTATGTCTTCTGCTCATTTGTAAACTGGGCTTTTTTGGGGGGGAAGAATGTTGACTTACATGAATTCTTTATACATTTTGATTACTAACCCATTACTGGATAGGTCATGTGCAAATAGGTCATTACTGGATAGGTCACTAACCCATTACTGGATAGGTCCCATTCCATAGGGTACCTTTTAGTTTTGACTGTTTCCTTCACTGTGCAAAAGTTTTTGTCTTTAGATGTAGTCCCCATAGTTTATTGTTACTTTACTTCCCTTGGCTCAGGAGACATAACTAGAAAAATGTTGCTACAGCCAAAGTCAGAGAAATGACGGCCTGTGTTCTCTTCAAGGATTTTTATGGTTTCAGGTCTCATATTAAGTCTTTAATTCGAGTTTATTTTTGTGTATGGTAAAGAAATTGGTCCAGTTTCATTCTTTGGCATGAGGCTTGTCCAGTTCTACCAACACTATTTATTGAAGAGATTGCCTTTTCCCCCACTGGATAGTCTTTCCTGTTTGTTGAAGATTAACTGCCCATACAGTTGTGGATTTATTTCTGGGTTTTTGGTTCTTTCCATTGAGCTATGTGACTATTTTTATGCCAGTACCAACCATACTGTTTTAATTACTACAGCTTTGGAATAAAACTTGAAATCTGAGATTGTGATACCTCCAGTTTTTCTTTTTCAATATTGCTTTGGCCACTCAAGGTGTTTTGTGGTTCTATACAACATTTAGGATTGTTTGTCTACTTCTGTGAAAAATATAGGGATTGCATTAAATCTTTAGATTGCTTTGGGTAGTGTAGACAGTTTAAAAATATGTATTCTTCCAATCTATGAGCATCAGATGTCTATTTCTTTCCATCATCTTCAATTTCTTTCATCAGTGTTTTATAGTTTCCAGGTTGTTCAAACAGGTTGTTCAAAATTTGGACCCTGTTTTAAAAAAGCTTTCACTCATCTATTTTGCCTCCACCTCTTCTAACCTGTGAAATATCCAGGAAAGGCCCAGTCTGAGTTTCTATAACCAAGTGTGACAGGGAGGGAATTCTCTGAAATGGTTGAAAATTATATGTATAAAAGTTACCACAGTGACTTATCACCTTACACATGTCAGAATGGGTAAAATTCAAAGTGCAAAAAACAAATGTTAGTAAGGGTGTGGAGAAAAAAGAACCTTTGTGCACTGGTGATGGGATGTATATTGGGACAGCCACTGTGAAAACCAGTATGGAGGTTCCTCAAGATTAAAAATAGAAATACCATATGATCCAGTAATTCCACTACTGGGTATTTATTTACCCAAGGAAAATGAAAATACTTATTTGAAAAGATATATGCACCCCTATCTTTATTGCAGCATTACTTACAATAGACAAGATATGGAAGCAACCCAAGTGTCCACCCATACATGAACAGACCACACACACACACACACGCACATACACACACCCCCACACACACACAATGGAATATTATGCAGCTATAAAACAGAATGAGATCTTGCCATCTGCAACATCATGGATATACCTAGACGGAAATCCTATATGATTTCACTTATATGTAGGATCTAAAAAAGGGAACAAGTGAACAGAGAAAAGGCAGAAACAGACTCATAAATACAGAAAATTGACTTGCCAAAGGGAGGGGAGGTTGGGAGATGGACAAAATGGGTGAAGGGGAGAGGGAAGTTCAGGTTTCCAGTTACAGAAAGAATAAATCACAAGCATCAAAGGTACAGCATAGGGAATATAGTCACTGGTATTGTAATAGCATTATACATTAACAGATGGGAGCTACACTTATGGCAAGCATAGTGTAACATACAGAGTTGTTGAATCACATATTACATTGTGTGTCAAGTAGACCTCAGTTTAAGTAAATATACCAAAGTTAAAGAACAAGTTTCTATGTTATTAGTGGAAGTACTAACCAGAGATTAAAAGATTAAAAATTATCAAGTCCAACTTTTTTCCTACACTGGTCTTGCTTTATTTAAGTCCATATAACTAGTAAGACCTTAGAAACCTTCAGGGGTATTCAGATACCCAAGGAGAGAGACTGCTATAAAAATGGTCCTGGTAGTTGTGCCTCTATTTCTCTATACGCTGCCTGAATATTTTCTTCCCTATGAGCTCCCACTCCTACATCACTCTTCAGCACGGTTCAGTGGCATTCTCCAACCTTTAAATCTTTAGCCTGTGAAGGCACAGACTCCTAAAACAAGGATGGGCTCAAATGACCAAGGGTAGGAACCATGTCCTGCTCCTGGAGAACAAGCTAATTGGGAGTCTCAGTCATCCACACAGTCACCTCAACATGGGCATGTTATCACCTATCCAGATGAAGCTCCCTTACTGATTTGACAAGTCAGTCCTACCCCTGCCCAGCCCTACAGGTACATGGGAAGGGCATCACAGACTTAGGAAAAGAGGCGGAGTGAGGAGACAGCTTGCCTTGGGCCATACATCTCTATAGTTCAGAATCTCCACCCCCCCCCCCAATTCCTTGAAAGGATCTAAGCCATCCTCCCTAAGTTGGGGTGGAGGTAGATGATATCATATTTCTATTTTCTGTAAACAGACTCTTCCCAGCAGCTCAAATGATTTTTAATCTCTCAACGGAAAATCTGAAGTATGCTTGCACCTTCAACGAAACCAACACACACAAAACCAGAAACCTGTTCAGGACCCTCTTGAACTCTCTATTTGAATATACCTTTCTAAACAACTCCCACAATCCTGGGACCTTCATTCCTGTCATTCACCTTTATCTAACTTGGCATAAACCCCAATATTCTGACATCTTATCTAAAACTCTTATTCCTATCCAACTCAGTGTTGTTCTTCTTGAAACCTGGTCTCCTCTGCTAATTCGATTCTTACCCTCCTTCATTGTATTCATTAGGCCCACTCCCCAGCTTTCTGTTATTAAAACATTTGCCTATAAGATGAAAAAAAGAAAGAAAGAAAGAAAGAAAGAAAGAAAGAAAGAAAGAAAGAAAGAAAGAAAGAAAGAAAGAAACCTGAATTTAAATGTCATTTCTGTCACTTATCATATCCAAATAGGTCACTTCAATCTCTTTTGAGTTTCAAATTCTCCATGTAAAACAAGCATTTGGCAAGGAGGTTAAACATGGGTTGAAATACTAGAGGGTATTTTTATGAATTAATCTCCGAGGTTCCCTAAATCTTGAGATTCTATGTGCTTTTGATTTGGCCTCTGGAAAAATGGAGAGTCCTTAGTTGGCAGAAGTGGAAAAAATAATGGAAAAAAAAAGAAATACCAAGAAAAGCAGAGAAGAAAGTAAAAAAGCAAAAACATAGTACAGAAAAGTCATGGGGAAAAGTCTACAAAAAAAGAAAAAGCTCCCTAGAACTAGTCAAGGGTACTAACCCAAAGGGAAAACCAGACTGGGAAGTTAGGAAACAGAGATCAGATAGAAATATCCTCAATGCAGTGGAAGATGGCGGCGTAGGAGGACGCTGGGCTCACTGCGCGTCCTGCTGATCACTTAGATTCCACCTACACCTGCCTAACTAACCCAGAAAACCACCAGAAGACTCGCAGAATGGAATCTCTGGAGCCAAGCACAGACGAGAGGTGCACAGATGAGAGGCCCACGGAAGAGGGTAGGAAGGGGAGAGAGGCGGTGCGCGCTGCACGGACTGGCGGGAGGGAGCCTGGGCGGAGGGGAAGCCTGCCGGCCAAGC